ACCTCCCGCCGCCGCCCGGCTTCGGAAGGATGCTCCGAAGCCGGGCGGCGGGGCGGGAACACCTCCTCCCGCCGCTCGGCTTCGGAAGGCTCCTCGGAAGCCGGGCGGCGGGGCGGGAACACCTCCTCCCGCCGCCCGGCTTCGGAAGGATGCTCCGAAGCCTGGCTGCGGGGCGGAGAGACCTTCTCCCCGCGCCAGCCTTCGGATGGCTGTCCTGAAGACTTGGGGTGGGAGAAGGGTTTTCCTTCCCACCGCCAACATTCAGAATGCTGTTCTGAATGTTGGCGGTGGGGAGGAAAAACCCTCCTCCCACTGCAAGCCCCGGGGAACAGAGGAAAAGCGCTGCGCGCCTTCCCCTCTGTTCCCGTACCTGTCCTGAAGGCTTGCGGTGGGGAGAAAAGCCCTTCTCCGCACCGCCAGCCTGGCAAGCGGTTTCCATAGGAACGCATTAATTGATTTTCAATGCATTCCTTTGGGAAACCGTGCTTCGCAAGACGAAAAACTCGCAAGAAGAAAAAACTTGCTGAACGAATTAATTTCGTCTTGCGAGGCACCACTGTACTGTTCTTGGGGGACAGGGGGCAGGCGGGTGTGGAGGACTCCCTGGTCCTGAATGGGGTGACTGTGCTTCTGAAGGACCAGGTGAGCAGCCTGGGAGTCATTTTGGAAATCCAGCCAGATGGGTAGTAGTAGTAGTAATTATTATTATTATTATTATTATTATTATTATTATTATTATTATTATTGTTGTTGTTGTTGTTGTTGTGTGGAAAAAGTGGGCAGAGAGCTTTTCCTCCTACTCTCATTATCCTAGAACTCAAGATGTTTCCCCTCCACTGCCAGACATAGGAGTCTGGGAATTGCCCATGTTTTGTCACACTAAAATCCTGCTTGAAAGCTTCCCATGGGCATCTTGTTGGCCACCATGGGAACGGGATGCTGGACCCAATGAGTCTTCTCTTCTTATGTTTGTATATGAAGAAAGAACATACTTCTGAAAACCTTGTAATGAAAGCTTGAAGTGATGTAACGTAGTGGGGGGGGGGCAACAGGGAGTCCTTCAAATAAACCTACCAATCCCTTGGCCACAACTATGTGCATTTCCACATATCTCGTGGTGCTGAAGTTAACCTATTGTAATTCAAGAAAGAACATTCCATTACTGCACTCATACTAACATCATGAAAAATTCACAGGTAGAACTCTAAATGCTGCTGAATCAGAATTCAAAATGTAGGTGAAGTATCTGGCAGATTGGGGTTGCATCAAGGCCTGGAGAAATGCGGGGTGGGGCTAGGGCCAGTAGGAACTGTAGTCCAACATTTGGTGGGGGAGCACAGCTTTCTCATGGCTCAGCTAGGAAGACCAATAGCCTGATTCTCTATTCTCAACATGTTCATTCAAAAGAATTATTTGAGAGAAGGCATTACTGTTTAAACTGGTATCATAGTGTTTAAAATGTATGGTGTGAATGTGGCCTAAGACAAGGATTGGGAATGTTTTTCAAACCGAGGCCACATTCCTTTCTATGCAACCTGCCAGAGCCAGACACATAATTAAACCAAGGGCCGATTAAGCAGACAGGCAACCAGAGCCAACCACACTTGGCCAGCTTTCATAAGGTTTTAGTTGGCTCTCTGGAGAGACAACATCTGTTGCTTCAGCAAGGCCCTTTGGAGCTGTTTTTCACTGGACTCTGCTGGCTTCCTTAGATGTGGACAGCATTTTCACCTTTTTATTTCTTGATTTTGGAGTCTCCCTTTAAGGCTGCAATCCTGTGCACACTAATCTCAGTCAAAACAGTGGTACCTACTTCTGATGAAACATGCACAGAATTAGGCTGCAGAGGTGAGCATCACACATAGCTTGCTGGAGACGCTAAGCTGTGAAGCTGATGCTCAGAGAGCCAGCAGGGCATCATAACTGTCAGTGTGAAAGCTGAGAAGAAGAAAAGCAGTGTTCTGCCAGAGTATATGCTTTCTAGGAGGTCAGAAAAGGAACAGCTCTATTGACGGGGGCGGCGGCAAGGTTTTGCTCCTGAAAATCAAGCAACAGGCTTGTGGGACCTGCAGTTGCTTTTAGGGTGCTACTTAAGGCCCATATTGCTTTCTCTGTTGACTGTGGGCTCACCTCTGTTCTGCATCCACATGTATATGGACAAACATTTACAAGCACTGAAGTCTTGGGGCGGGCGCAGTTCTCATCGAAAGAAAGCTGGCCTTGAAAAGGCTTCTCCCAGGAACTCCTACTGCTTAGGGGAGGGGGGAGAGGAGCATGTACATGCATAGGTGCACATATTACTATTTTGTTTTGGATCTATACACACAATTTTATTTAAAGAAAAAAAAGCACTCACTGGTATTCCTGATTCTACCCTTGGCGTTATTCCTGAACTCCATCTAATGGAATAATTCTGTTCAGAAAGTGGACGCTCTGCATCTTCATATTCAATCTGATAAACAAGATGCTGAAATCCAGAAGCAGATTCAACTGGCTCAATTCCGTAGCTGCTGTTCTCAAACTGCAACAGCCCACTGGTAGGAGGAAATAAAGTGGAAAAGAAGCCCCCCCCACCCAAAAAAAATGTTGATGGAGCAAACTGTGACTTGGTAGCCAAAAGCTAAATTCCCATTTCAGTCCAATGCAATGCTTCAGCTGGTGGGCAGGGAGTTCAATCCTACTTTCTGCAGGGACTGGCTGTGTGAGCAGCCAATCCAACTGTGTTTCTACATATGACCTACCACATATGGCATCAGCGTGGAGCACATAGGCATGGTTCATGGGGAAAGGTGTTTAGGCCAAACAGTAAGACCTAGTGGGCCAAATCTGGTCCACAGTCTGGGGTTTGCCCATCCCTAATATAGGAGAAGATGACATGGGATGGAAATAATCCCATTTGAAAGAAAACTGAAAAAGACAGCCTTTTCCCTGAGTACTAAACAAAAACCACAGAGCCCAGGGCTTGCCAATCAGAAGGTTGGCAGTTCGAAACCATGCGACAGGGTGAGCTCCTGTTGTTCAGTCCTAGCTCCTGCCCACCTAGCAGTTCGAAAGCATGTAAAAGTGCAAGTAGATAAATAGGTACCGCTCCGGCAGGAAGGTAAAAGGCGTTTCCGTGCGCTCCTCTGGTTTCGTCAGAAGCAGCTTAGTCATGCTGGCCACATGACCCGGAAGCTGTCCACGGACAAAATGCCAGCTCCCTCGGCCAGTAAAGTGAGATGAGCATCGCAACCCCAGAGTCGTTTGCAACTGGACTTAACAGTCAGGGGTCCCTTTACCTTTACTGACTAGAACACCCGACTATTCTGTTGTATCAGGTGTGCATGTTATGGCAATCCATATAAAATGAACAGATCCTCAGTGTGTGTTCAGAGGAACTATTTGGGAAATGTATACTTGAGACTGCATGTTACTGGTGAGGAGAAAATGTTGATATATGTTGTATGTCAGTTATAAAAGGCAGTTCAATTTATACCTTGACTTTTACCATGTGTGTGTTTGTGAAGAGGCTGATTCATCCATGCCTAGTTATACTTTGCCACTCTGGCTTATTAAGCAGGATGTCCAATTTCAGTGGGGTTATCCTTTCTCAAAGCCCTGGAGTGCTCTGCAGGCAGCTGAACTTGGGACTGAGGAACAAAGGGTTCTGTTCAAGAATAACACATAGGTCTCACCTAAGCCCAAGGCAGGTGCTGAGCATCACAATGGAATCAGTATAGCCTTCAATGTAGCCTTGATAGTAGCAATTGCGCTAGAAAGAGTAATCAGAACAATTTACCTACAACCAGGGGGCAACTCAAAAGTGAAATACATACACTGCTATATGAAATCCAATCCTAGAGCACACAATTCAAATGAGAGGTTAACAGGCTAAATTTGGGGTTGTTACCTAAAGCCAAACTATGCAGTTACTCACCTTTCCTCTTGGGCTGACCAACTGCAGTTTCCCTTCTGGTTACAGTCAGGGTTGATGCTCACGTGGACAGTCCATTGAAAGCTGCTCCAGCAGCACAGAGAGTGGGGTATCTAGGCTTGTTTACAAAAACCCTCAGGTTGAGTTTCCTGGTGCCATGTACCCACAAAGCACTGATTCCCCACTAGCTAAGGTTTCTGGATATGTGCCTGCTCCATCAAGTGGGAAAAGTGTGTGGGGAAAGTGGAATGCAAAAGCAGTGGGTGAGAAAGGGTGAAGTGTCAGAAATATAAAATTTCCAGAAATGTGTATGTGGAAGGGGGTATTTCTAGAGGAAGGGGTAAACTATGAAGAACGACTGAAATAGGTGCAATGTTTATTTTTTTACCACACCTAAATTTATTTTTACTGCTTCAACATTTGGTATATTTGTGGAATTTAAGCACCTCAGTTTTCTACAAGCAAAATTGTGACTAGAACCATTTGTAGTTCACTCCCTTCTGTGGGTCTTGGCTAGAGCTCAGTTTTTACTTGAACTTGCAGATTTTTCCTCGAGTCTTTGGTATAACAAGGCATTGTTTGGTATTCTAGTATCCCATCTCCTTCAGACCTTTTTATAACACAGCAAAGTAATGCAATAAGCTGCAAGTTTCCCTGTCTGCAGCAGGGGCCCAATGCCATAGTCATGTTGAGGATAGAAGACAAAACCTCAGAAAGGAAGGGGTCATGTCAAAAGGAGAGTTGAAGCAGGGCATTTGCGGCTAGTACCCCCAAACTAGACACAGATGCAGCTATCCATTGCTTCTCCGCTGAATATTGCCTAACCATGGGTGCACTGGAACCCGCATATGAATTTGTGCGATGGGCCAATCCTCTGTTGCTGCTGCTGGTGGTGAAACAAGATGCACACGTGGCACCAGCAGCCTAACACCCCCCACCAGTGCAGGAGCAGGCCAAAGGTGTTAAGCTTTGTTTAGGGCAACCAGCCACCAATTTCAGGTGCCACCCTGGAGCACCTGAAATGACCAACAACTGCCGTGATCCTCCCTACCCCCGGCTAAGCTAATGTGTGGCACACTCGGTGTAAGGATGTCTGTTTTTGTTTGAAAGGATGCGTGCTTTGAATATTCCCTGCCTTCTTAATTATTATCAACATATATATTTTAACTAATCAGTTAAAAGTACTATAGTTAATCTATTTTTAAAAAATTGGTTGGCAGGTCTAATGTAGCTCAAACGATAGCCACTCAAAGAGAAACCTGTTTCCTACACCTGAGAGAAACTTACCTGAATGGGAGGAACAAAAGACACTGCTGACCCTCCATGGCTATACGTATAAACTCTGAAATCGTTGGTTAAAAAGGATCTAAAAACAAAGCATAAAAAATACATAAAGGTGGCACGAAAAAGAGGGAAGGAGGGACAAATGGTCCAGAAAGTTACAACAATGCCTGCTGTCATGTCCTGACATGTGACAGTGACTCAGAGCAGTATCCAACTAATGCGTACCATCAGCGCAAGGAGTTCCATGATGTGCACATGGAGCCCGCAAGGCCTTTTTGGGTGTCTCTTGGCAATATTTAAGAAAAAGCATCTTAGCCTCCCAAAGTGCTTCTGCATGGCTGGAACGTGTTATGGAACTGTTATCACACCTCTTGCTTGCCTGGATGAAGGTGGGGGGTGGGGCAGGTGTATGAACCTTTGAATTTTGCATGGCTGGCACGTCTGCCACACAAGGGTGCACCCATTATTTGTTGCTGGACCCGCCACCCCCACCTGCATGCAGCTCCAGAAAAGCTGCCCTCTAGGGAATGAGGTCCTTGGGCCTTTATAAGGGGAGCCTCTCCCATTCTGTTACAACATTTTACCTTCTCAGCAATTCCGTGCACTGGGTGGCAGAGGTACCTTTGTGGGCACATTTTAAATGCAAGAAGGTTTTCCCAGAGGCTACATAGGAGCCAACTCCTAGGGGCCAAGGTCCCACAAGTTGATAGGCATTGTCATTCAAACGGTCTGTGTGTGCTGCATCATGTGATCAATTATTCAGGGCGGGGCTTACCTGCACCCCATATTTTATTCAAATTGGCAGCCTAGGAGGCTATTAAGATTTGCTTCTGAAAGTAAAGCTGAGTGCTTTGTCCCCTCTCTTCCTCAGAAACGCTTTCCAGGAAATCTTTCTAGACACTACTGTACCAGGATTTATTAAACAAGATTGCAATGTCTTATAGAATGGGGGGCAAATCCCAGTTATTTATTCTACTCACTGTTGCTTCAGATGAATGATATATGGCTTTCCATTTATATCAATATCAAAGGTCATCCTTTCCTGCAATAGCCAAAGGGTTAATCATGCTATAGTTTTTATTTTGTTTACACATTAAACTCCAGCCTATGCAAAGAATTTGTGCACACTCCCCATGGTACAGATGGTAAAAAGTGGTACAGATGAAGAACAGATTTTAACAAATGGCTTGCTGCCACTGCAAGCCAGAGTCATTTCAATCATGAAGCTCAGTACAGAAATTTAAATTAATAATAGTAATAATGGCTTTAGCTGGAAGTGGGATTAGAACAGTGGTTCCCATGCAGCGCTTTACAATGCTACAAATGGGATCCACAGCAAAATGTTGCAGCATATGTCCACCCCCTAAGAGGAGTGCTCCTGTTCCTGTCTCTAGGCCAGTGTTCCCCAACCTTGGGCCTCCAGCTGTTTTTGAACTACAATTCCCATCATCCCTGACCACTGGTCTTGCTAGCTAGGGATGATGGGAGTTGTAGTCCAAAAACAGCTGGAGGCCCAAGGTTGGGAAACACTGCTCTAGGCTACCTGCAAGAGGAAGCTTGTTCACATTAGTGGGGGGACTTTTTTCTTGCCCTCCCCCGCTTCCCCAAACATAAGCATTTATCTTTATGGGATGATGTGGGAGTTGGCTTAGTTCTGCACAATGTGGCAGTAAAAAGGACAAGGAGGGGGCAAAGTTCTCCAGGAACTCTACACGTTTGCGTAGTCTCAGTAAGCCATAGCTTCACTAACTGCCTCGTACAAACCAATTTGTCTGCTGCTGCTCAAATTAACATTGTTGGTTTTAAAAGTTAGCATTTTTTTAAAAAAAAAACTTTTAATTTAGGGCTGCCATACAGCCAGATTTTCCCAGACATTACCAAGATTTCAAAGGCGAAATTGTCATCCAGGGGGAATTTCCTAAAGGTGGTGCTTTGTCCTGGATCTTACGCAGGTCAAATGAAAAATCGAGGTCAACAATTTTGGGGTCAACAACTTTTGGGATGTCCTGGTTTTTACTTTTTGAAATATGGCAACCCTAAAAGTAAACAGCCTTGACAGGGCAGTCTGGAATGAAAGGTCAGGTAGAACACTTTTCATAATCAAACACAATACCGTATTTCCAGTGACGTAAGATGGGATCCTCTGAGGTACAGTCACTTGGAGGAATGTTCGCTGAGACCCTAGACAGAAGAGACCCTTCTATAGCCATTTATCCGTGAATACACTGCACTTAGATAAGCTCGGGGTGGGCACTACAGGGAAATCATTTTGCAAGAATTTTCAGCCCCCTCAACCAATTACCGTTTTTCAGGATATATGGCATGGAGCCATGACAGCTAAGGTGGCAGATTTGAATGTATGTCCGTACGTACGTACGTATGTATGTAACTACACATTTGCAGTGTAGCTGTGACTTTTTCAAGGGCAGGAGTTTAGGGGCCAAGGAAGGCGGCCTTCGTGCCCCTCAGCCTCATTCTGCAGCCAAGAGGCGCCGCCCCCGGAGCAGCTTCTTCCTCGGCTGCTGCGCTCGTGCGGGGCCGCAGCTCCCCCGCGCCGGATCAGGCCTGGCCCCGGGAGCAGAGCAGGAGAGGGGGCAGCAGCGCGGCCGCACCGCCGCAGCGCTTCCCGGCCCTCTCGTCCCCGCGGGACGGGCAATGCGCACGGATGGCGCCTGGATACGGAGAGAAACGGCGGCGGCCCCTCCGAGGAGCCAGGAAGGAAGGCGGAGCCCCGGGGGCAGCAGGCTCACCCAGCGCAGAAACCAGGCACACGCTGAGCAGCGCCAGCAGCAGGCCAAGCAGCGCCATGGCGCCCCTCGCTCGACCCGCAGCCGCCGGCGACCAGTAACGGGCGCCGAGGAACTCGAAGGCGGGGCCCGGGAGAAGGGCGCGCTGGCGCCGCCGCGGGCCAACGGCTGCCGGGCGGGGCGGAGACGCGCGAGGGGCCACGTTGCGGGCTGCCTTGGCCGAGGCGCCGGGGCTGGGAGAGGGGTGGGGCGCACGCAAAAGGGGCTCGGTTCTCGCCAACGTGCCCCCTTCCTGCTGCTTTTGCGGATTGGGCAAGAACCGCTCATCCTGAGACGGCGTTTGGATTCATCAAAATGTCTATAAACAAGTTTCAAAAAGCCATGATATATGAGCGTGGTGCAGTCTCCCAGTTGGTATAATAATAATAATAATAATAATAATAATAATAATAATAATAATAATTTATTATTTATACCCCGCCCATCTGGCTGGGTTTCCCCAGCCACTCTGGGCAGCTTCCAAAAGAATATTAAAATACTGTGATACATCAAACATTAAAAGCTTCCCTAAACAGGGCTGCCTTCAGATGTCTTCTAAAAGTCTGGTAGTTGTTGTTCTCTTTGACATCTGGTGGGAGGGCGTTCCACAGGGAGGGCGCCACTACCGAGAAGGCCCTCTGCCTGGTTCCCTGTAACTTGGCTTCTCGCAGTGAGGGAACCGCCAGAAGGCCCTCGGTGCTGGACCTCAGTGTCCGGGTAGAATGATGGAGGTGGAGACGCTCCTTCAGGTATACTGGACCGAGGCCGTTTAGGGCTTTAAAGGTCAGCACCAACACTTTGAATTGTGCTCGGAAACGTACTGGGAGCCAATGTAGGTCTTTCAAGACCGGTGTTATATGGTCTCGGCGGCCGTTCCCAGTCACCAGTCTGGCTGCTGCATTCTGGATTAGTTGTAGTTTCCGGGTCACCTTCAAAGGTAGCCCCACGTAGAGCGCATTGCAGTAGTCCAAGCGGGAGATAACCAGAGCATGCACCACTCTGGCGAGGCAGTCCGCGGGCAGATAGGGTCTCAGCCTACGTACCAGATGGAGCTGGTACACAGCTGCCCTGGACACGGATTTAACCTGTGCCTCCATGGACAGCTGTGAGTCCAAAATGACTCCCAGGCTGCGCACCTGGTCCTTCAGGGGCACGGTTACCCCATTCAGGACCAGGGAATCCTCCACACCTGCCCGCCTCCTGTCCCCCAGAAACAGTACTTCTGTCTTGTCAGGATTCAATCTCAATCTGTTTGCCGCCATCCATCCTCCAACCGCCTCCAGACACTCGCACAGGACCGTCACCGCCTTCACTGGTTCTGATTTGAAAGAAAGGTAGAGCTGGGTATCATCTGCATACTGATGAACACCCAGCCCAAACCCCCTGATGATCTCTCCCAGCGGCTGCATGTAGATGTTGAAAAGCATAGGGGAGAGGACAGAACCCTGAGGCACCCCACAAGTGAGAGCCCAGGGGTCTGAACACTCATCCCCCACCACCACTTTCTGAACACGGCCCAGGAGGAAGGAGCGGAACCACTGTATGACAGTACCCCCAGCTCCCAGCCCCTCAAGACGGTCCAGAAGGATGTTATGGTCGATGGTATCAAATGCCGCTGAGAGATCCAGCAGAACTAGGAAACAGCTCTCACCTTTGTCCCTAGCCCGCCGGAGATCATCAACCAGTGCGACCAAGGCAGTTTCAGTCCCGTGATGAGGCCTGAATCCCGATTGGAAGGGATCCAAATGGTCCGCTTCTTCCAGGCGTGCCTGGAGTTGTTCAGCAACCACTCGCTCAATCACCTTGCCCAAGAATGGAAGATTTGAGACTGGGCGATAGTTGGCCATCGTGGCCGCATCTAAAGATGGTTTTTTAAGAAGCGGTTTAATAACCGCCTCTTTCAACGGGTCTGGGAAGGTTCCCTCACGGAGGGAAGCATTCACCACCCCACGAAGCCCATCGCCCAGCCCTTCCCGGCTAGCTTTTAAGCCAGGATGGGCAAGGATCCAGGAGACAGGTGGTTGGTTTCACTCGTCCAAGCAGCCTGTCCACATCCTCGGAGGTAACAGATTGGAATTGATCCCACGCAATTTGACTAGACAGGACTCTAGCACTCTCCCGCCCTGGCCCTGCTCCCACGGTGGCGTCTACCTCTTCCCGAATCTGAGCGACTTTATCTGCAAAAAACTTTGCAAAATCATTGCAGGAGATCATGTGGCCCGTACTGGGCCCCGATGTAGCAGGTAGAGCATGAGGCTCTTAATCTCAGGGTCGTGGGCCCAAGCCCCACATTGGGCAAGATTCCTGTATTGAAGGAGATGGACTAGAAGAGCCTTGGGGTCCCTTCCAACTCTGTAATTCTGATTGTATGTATACATGAGCATGGGAAATGAGGGGCAGATGGAGCTCAACAACCTGGAAGGGTATGTAGGAGAAGGAAAACTGATCTGAAATCTCTGCTGCCTTGCAAGTCATAATGGGGAAGAGAATGCTCAGGAGAAACCCCACACAAATCTCTGAAACACATGGCACCTTGTACACCTCCGTCCAGGAACTCCTGCAGGCAAGCTGGTGCTTTCCTTTGGACCCCATCAGCGAGGCCAAGAGGGGGACCCTGCCATCTGGGCAGCCCAGGCTTGTGCCTTGGCATGGTCACTTTGGTGCTTGCCAGCGCAGCTGTTTGACTTGTAGTTTCCACAGACATCAGGCTGGTGGTTGTGGGTAACGGGAGGCCTGACTAGAGGGAACCCAGAATGGGGAACCTCAGGCTCCAGGTCACATGCGGCCTTCTAGATCTGAGAGTCTTCCCAGGCCACACCCCTCACCAGCCCTGCATTGCCACCCTTTGTGTGTGTTTGCGCCAGGCTTCAATGTGTCCTCGAACCCAAATTACCAGGACAGGTACCAGAAAAGAGGAGCTGCCCTCAGTAAATTAGGTTGGATGGGTCATAAGATTTGCACTGCCATCCTGCTCCTCCCCCAGAATCACCTAGTTTAGCAGTAGTGTGCAAGGCAACAAAATTTCATTCACAAACAAAAAATCATGTAAAGCTGGAAGAAGGGGACAAAGTAATTGTTTCATTTCTACTTCCCACACAGCTGGTAAGCCTAAGAGCTGGCGGGGGGGGGGCTTTAGCTGTGAAGAATGCTTGGATGTGTGCCTAAGAATACAAGCTTTGCTTTTAGGTAGAGCTTTGATGGGTAATTGGCAGTACTTGCAGCAAAGCAAACCTTTCCCTTGTCACTTTAATCTGCATGATTAGGGGGAGTTTCATTTCTTAATATGTGCCATGAAAGAAAGCTGAGGGAGCAAATAGGATAGTAGGAAATAGCAGCCAGGGAGCAGGAGGCAAAAGTGCCTGTTACCCCCTTGCTCCCTCTGGCAGAAATCCCTGGCAGAATTGGCATCTATTCCCTCGAAGAGAGATTAGCTCACTGCTGGTTTTCGTTGCTTGGAGATGGCAGATGAAGGTAAAGAGGCTCTTGGAACAAGCAGTAAGCCCCCATTGGGGTGTAGGCCGCAGCATGTGCCTGCTGATGCCGACCCATAATGAAGCCCCTGCATGCTGTATACAAATGCAAAGAAGGACCTGGAGAACCATTCACAGAATAATTTTCACCTGTATAAGCAAGCAGTAGTTTATTAAACAGCTAGAAGTCATATAAACAGCAGGAGCCTGACCCAGGTCTGGTCACATCGTGTCTTCTTGGTTGCTCAAGCTACTCACATGCCAGGGGCAGCAGGAGGGAGAGAGGAGAGAGGAGAGAAGACATGATGGAGCAATACAATAAGGAGAATCAGCAAAATTTAGCGCCACCCAGAAAGATGGAGAAGAGATCGGAAAAACATCCTTCTCCCACAGAAGCCTCTCCACTCCCTGCACAATCTTTGAAATTTCTGTACCATGGCTGGCCCAAGACACTCGGGCTCCTAAGGCAAACCACAAACTGGCATCTCCTGCCTGTCAGGAAGGAAGGTCTGAGTTCACTTCATCTACATCAGAACCGGGCGAATAAAGCTGTGCATTGGGAAAAAGAGTTGGAGGAAACCTGTTTGCCAAGAGGCCGCTGGGAAACACAGATCTGGCCTCCAAGGAGTGGTGTCACTGCCCCCACAGCAGCAGGGGGCGATGTGTACCTTGGAGGCCAGATCTGCTGCCCCCATGAATCCTACTTTGTACCTTACCTATGAGAGGCAAGATCTAGTTTTGTGGGGCTTTGCCTGGAAGTGCTGCTGCTGTTATGAAACAGTTCCCCAAGCAATGCCTGTCACTGCTTTGTTCAGCCTTCACCAAGGTGGTGCCCACCAGATGTTTCAGACCATAACTCCCTTTAGCCTGGCATCAAACAGCCATGCTCACTAAGGCCAACAGGAGCTGCACTCCATAACATCTGGAGGGCACCACCCTGGTGAAGGCTGGCAGAGTTTTAGGTGTGCCATTTAACCTTGTTGAATTGATGAAACCACGTGAATTGAGAAAACAGTATCTAAACAATTAGAATGAATACTATCATATATATGCAGTTAAAATTGAGTAATGATGATTAATAATATACAGTGGTACCTTGGTTCTCAAACTTAATCTGTCCTGGAAGTCTGTTCCAAAACCAAAGCATTCCAAAACCAGGGCACACTTTCCCATAGAAAGTAATGCAAAGAGGATTAATCTGTTCCATACTTTTAAAAACAACCCCTAAAACAGCAGGTTAACATGAATTCTACTATCTAACAAGACCATTGATTCATAAAATGAAAGCAATAATCATTTGATTTAATCATTATGAAGTGTGTTGATTAAGGAATTTATAGTAAGTATATTGACAAATCGTATTAACTAAGTTCTAGGACATAAAGGGTAACAAATCTCGATTCAGGATCTGAGATAGTAGGGAGGGCAAGGAGAAATATTGATTGACAAATATTTTAAGAAGTTGGTAATCCAATTTAGATTAGAGTATTTAATAATACATAAATGCCAAATGCGGGAGGAATAATTGAACAAATACTTCCCAGAGCTCTCTGAATAGAAACAATACAGACCTGAGGGTATTTAAAGTACAAAAATATCAAAGGAACTTATTAAGACTGGGACAAAGCTTATATTCATGTGTATATAGAGAAGCAACTAAAATGACTTCCAAGAAATTACAGTGGCCTCTTCAGGAGCTCCAAGACGCCAATCAGTGGCGGAGTTAGATACGAATGATGATATAAGAGAGTTGGTTATTGGAATGAATAAATCTATTAATGATAAACTTGATTCCATGGGCAACAAGATTGAGCAAAATTCAAAATTAATAATGGACCTATCTGCACAGCTAAAAGATCTGACTATTAAAATTAGGGAGATAGAGAAAACGGTCCAAGATTTGAAATCTAGAACTAATAAACAAGAGGAACTCTCGAAGGAAAAAACCAATAAAATTAAAAATGAGAGTAAAGGGCTGAAAAAAGGCCAAGACGTTATAAATGATGAGGTAATAGAATTAAAGAGAATATAGGAGAAAATGTTAGATTAAATCGCGATTCTCGAGATGCACTAAAGGGAGCTTATTCTACGCTTTCAGGGGATCCCAGAGATGCAGAATGAAGACATTGAAACCAAACTGACAAAAGAATTAGCTAGATGGCTCGGAGTCCAAGAAGAAGAATTAATAATGGACATAGATAAGATCTTCAGAATAAATTCTGAAAGAACAAATTCGAATAAAGGATCAGGAACTGTATGGTCTTCTTTAATTCAAGACTAGTGAAGGATAAAGTACTCCAGAAAAGGAAGTTGACAATAGATGAAAGGAATATAATAATTCATAAAGAAATATCAAAAAGACTCCTTAAAAAGACAAAATTACAAGACATTAACAGATGCTTTAAAAACCAACACAATAAGATACAAATGGGAATTCCTGGAGAGGATATTTAGGGAAGTTCTGGAGAAAATACAAGAGAGAACTGGGAGGAGAATTCATGCAGGAGAGAGAAGCGTTAGAAGCTACAGGAGAGGAGTAAAAGCAATTCTTATCAAGAGATACAATAAGATGTAACCCACTAGATTAAATCTATATTTATTCTATATATTTTTCTGAATCCAATTTGTAATTGTTATTTGATGAATTTGAACATTATCTCGTAGAATATCAATGGTTTTAATAATAAAAAGAAAAGGAATAAAACCCAACATATGCTAAAAAAGAACTGGGACATTATCTGTCTTCAGGAAACACATATAGCTAAGAAGCACAAGAGAGTTTTGGCAAATAAGAAACTAGGGGTAGAATTTATAGCTTCAGATTTACATAAAAGAGGAATCGTTATATACATAAACCCAAAATTAGCATCCAAATTAATATTTAAAGACAATGAAGGACGATTGCTGGGCGTGCAGTTAACAAGAGGCAAAGAAAAATTAATACTGGTGGGTGTGTACTTTCCAAATGGAAACAAATCAAAATACGTTAAAAAACTAGAGGAAAGATTATTGGAACATAACAATGAGGACATGATTCTTATGGGAGATTTTAATGGGGTCACTTTGTTGAACCTTGATATAACAGAAAGAGAGAAAACATCTAAGGAAGGAAAATTCCCAATTTCCCCCCCAAATGGTTGAAGATCTGAACTTAGTAGATGCTTGGAGAAATAAACATACAAATGAAAGACAGTATACATTCTATTCCGAAGCTAAAAAATCTGCAGGTCGAATAGATGGACTATGGATATCGAATAGTTTAATGACACTAATTAAAAAAACTGAGATTCAACCCAAATCCATTTCAGACCATAACCTGATTACACTAGAATTAAGGGATAAGAAGAAAATGAACAAGCAGTGGAGGATGAATGAGAGAATCCTGAATGATGAGAAAATTATTTAAAAGGCTGAAGAGGCCATGAAAAAATTCTTTGAAATAAATATGACACAAGAGACTGATATTAGGATCAATATGGGATGCCTGTAAGGCCTTTATATGAGGCTTGTATATCCAACAAAACATAATACAAAAAAGGATTAGAGAATCAAAGTTAGATCAGATTAGACAAGAGATTGAAAGAAATGAGAATCTATTGGTGAACAATCCAAAAAACAAAACCGCAAACCAAAATATTAAAATATTGTAATCCCAACTATCAATATTCTTAAATGATGAAATAGAGAATAACATCAAATGGATGAAGCAAAATAATTTTGAATTTGCTAACAGACGAGGCAAACTGTTTGCGTGGTAATTAAAAAAGAAACAAAGAGAAAAACAAATTGATAAGATAGTACAAGACAGTAGCGTAATCGACAAACAGGAATAAATAAATAATTGTTTTTTAAGATATTTCAGGAAGTTATATAAGATAGGAACGGAAGGAGAACATGACATAGTGAAATACAAGGGAAAGAAATTCCCAAAATAGCACAAGAGAAACTTGAACAATTAAACTCGCCAATTACCAGGAAGGAGATACACCAGGCAATCTCGAGTTCTAAGCTGGGCAAATCCCCAGGCCCAGATGGACTTCCTGTAATCCATTATAAAAAAAATGGAATAGATTATAGCCCCGCCACTCATGAATAAAATAATACAAGATAGGAAATGCTAGTCAACACCTAGAAGGCTTTCAATAACCTTTCTTGGAAATTTCTAAGGAAAGTGATTGACCTATTCACAACGGGAGAATGATTTACCTCGGCTATAAAGGCCATATATGAGAAACAGAAAGCAAATCTAATAATCAATGATGGGAAAACAGAATACATCCCAACAGAAAAAGGCACAAGGCGAAGCTGCCCACCCACTCTCTCCTGTACTTTTTGTATTAACCCTAGAAATATTAAATTTGGAAATGAGGAAAGAAGAAAAAATTAAAGGGATATCTTTAGGTCAAAAGACTATCAAATTGAAAGCTTTTGCAGATGATTTAATTTTAACAGTAGAAAACCTGGAAACGAGTATTCCCAAAGCGTTGGAAAAGATAACAGAATTCGGAGAGGTCTCCAGCTTCAAACTTAACAGATCAAAAACAAAGCTTATGGTTAAAAATATACAGGAGCAAGAGAAAAAGGAATTGCAGGGAAAAAACAGGGTTGTCGATAATGAAAAAAACAAAATATTTGGGAATTGACATTTTTGATGACAATTATAAAAAAACCTGGAATGAATTATTATTTTTTTGGTAGAAATTTGGGCTAGACTGAAATTATCATTTTGGGGAAGAATCTCAGTAATAAAAATGAATATACTCCCCAAAATGCTCTTTTTCAAATGATGTCGATTATAGCGAAAACAGAATGCATTGAAGAATGGAGGTAAGATCTGACAAGGTTCATTTGGCAGGGTAAGAAACCTCGTATTAAATACAAATTACTGACAGACAGGAAAGAAAGAAAGAAAGAAAGAAAGAAAGAAAGAAAGAAAGAAAGAAAGAAAGAAAGAAAGGGGTTTGCACTACCAAAATTAAAAATCTTTTGGCCTGGCAAATGAAAAAAAGACAAAAACTTAATACTATAGACTCTCCTCCCTGAAAGGGAGGGGAGGGGTTGTGGTCGGAGCCCGAGCCTCGGCTAGCAGGGGGCGTGGCCCCCTGCTGCCCGCTCACCTGGCTGGCGCTCACGCCCCCTCGGTGGCCATCCAACCAGGGGCCACGGAGGGGGCGTGTTCAGCAGCATTTTGCTGCAGTGCCAGCCTTCCCCGGCCTCATTCTTCAGACGGGAAGTAGCTGAAAGAAAGATAGCAAAAGAGGTCAGCGCGGGCAGGGTTGCAGGCCCGTTCGATAGTCCACCCATACCAAATTTGCACATATCCCCATTAGGCATTGTGCCCAAGAAAACCCCCGGTGAATTTAGGCTCATTCACAACCTGTCCTTTCCAAAAGGCGGCTCGGTCAACGATGCCATCCCGCCTGAGTTATGCACGGTTAAATACGCCACCTTTGATCAGGCAGTTAAGTTGATCCGTAGTTTTGGCCCCGGGGCGTTGTTGGCAAAGTGTGATATAGAATCGGCCTTCCGCCTCCTGCCAGTACACCCTGCTGATTTCCGGCTTCTGGGTTTTAAATTTCAAGGTAAATACTATGTTGACAGAGCCATGCCAATGGGCTGCGTGGTTGCCTGTTCGGCATTCGAGGCCTTCAGCACGTTCCTGGACTGGGCCCTGCGTTTCAGGGCAAACACCATTGGGGTCACGCATTACCTGGATGATTTTCTTTTCGTGGGTGGAGCCAACACGGGGGAGTGTGCCTCCTTGCTCGAGGCCTTCTCAGCACTGGCCGAGGACCTTGGGGTCCCTCTAGCTGCGGAGAAAACGGAGGGCCCAACCACGCGTCTAACGTACCTTGGCATCGAGCTGGATACAGTGGCCCAGTCATCCCGTTTACCTGCCGAAAAGATTGAAGCCCTTAAACAACTAATTCAGGACACACTTAAGCTTAGGAAGATCACCCTTAGGCAAATTCAATCTTTATTGGGCCACTTTAATTTCGCGTGCAGGGTGGTGTCACCCGGTCGCCCCTTCTGTGCTCGCCTCGCCAGACTGTCAGTCGGTTTGAAACACCCCCTCCACAGGGTTCGCCTCCCCAGGTCGGTCAAGGCGGATCTCGAGGTGTGGACAGCATTTTTGGGAAAATATAACGGGGTTTCTCTTTGGCAGGATGTCTTGAATCTGTCATCAGACTTTCAGGTCCAATCGGACGCGGCAGGGTCTTTAGGCTTTGGTTTGTACTTCAAAGGGCGCTGGTGCGCGCAACGCTGGCCCTCAGCTTGGCAGGGTCAAGCCATCACGCGGGATCTCACCTTTCTTGAGTTCTTTCCAATAGTGGTGGCCGTTCACATTTGGACGGAAGAGTTTCGAGATCGCCGCGTGTGCTTCAGGACCGACAACTTGGCGGTGGTGAACATTCTTGCCAGACAATCATCTCGGTCTGCGAGGGTTTCCTCCCTTCTTCGGGCTTTCGTCCTCCGTTGCCTTGAGTACAATATAGTATTTTCAGCCAAATTCATACCCGGAGCCAATAATGATATAGCCGACGCTTTATCTCGATTCCAGATACCTCGCTTCCGGTCGCTCGCACCTGGAGCACAACTGTTGCCCGAACCCTTTCCGGAGTACCTGTGGAACGTTGGAGACGCAAAGTGATACAGGGAGTATTAGCGTCTGTGGCACCTTCCACGCTCAGGTCCTATAAGAAGGCCTGGAGTGATTTCCTGGGTTTCAGGTTTGGGTTATCTGGGCGTTCACATAACACACCTCCCACTACTGATGACGTCCTGCAGTACCTGTCCCATCTGGATGACCTCGGACATGCTACGAAAACCTTAAAGATCCACGTAGCGGCCATCAGCTTCTTTTCAAAGGCGACGTTTGCGCAGGACCCGTGTAGTGATTTCCTTATCCGTAGAGCCATTGAAGGTTGGGGCAGGTTGCAACCGCCTAGGGCTGTGGGCCGTAAGCCGATCTCCTACGGATTGCTATCTCAGATACGCATAAAACTCAGGACAATTTGTTGGTCCAGGTTCGAGGCAAGGCTCTTCTCCGCAGCTTACGCTATAGCCTTCTTCGGTGCGCTCAGAGTCGGTGAGGTGGTGTGTGAAGTTAGTGCGCGGGGTGTAACTCATGGCCTCTTGTGTGAGGACGTACAGCTGTCCGAATCTTCTGTGTCAGTACTTGTACGTCAGTCCAAGACTGATCAGGCTGGCAAGGGTGTCCTGCTCAAGCTCTCGGCGTCGGCCCAACAGGGCCCATGCCCGGTAAAGAACACCAGGCGGTACCTCTGCCTTAGACCAGCTGTCCCGGGACCGTTCCTGATCCACGAGGATGGGTCGCCCATGTTGAGGTATCAATTCACCAGAGTATTGCGCAAGGCTATTGAGGCTTGTGGCCTCTCCTCTCAGGAGTACGCTGCGCATTCATTTAGGATCGGGGCCGCTACCACGGCCGCGCACCTGGGGTTACCGGCAGAAAGGATAAAAGAGTTGGGCCGGTGGAAATCCAATGCGTATAAGTCATATATTCGCAACTTTGCGCCTACCCCTTAGTCTGCTTACCCTTCCTTTTGTTCTATCTTTATTCCCAGCTATGCCCGGAAGAAGCGTGTGGATTTGCGGCCACAGTATTGTCCATTGGGCCCGCGTGCGAGCGGTGAGCTGCGGCCTGGCACCCAACCTTGGTCTGCCACGTGATGTTCGAGTTTCCTGGTTTTCGAGAAGAGGCATGCGTTGGGAAGAACTGATGCCTTTGCTGGGGGAGAAAATAGCCAAGCTCGGCTCTCCCGACATCCTGGTGATTCATTTAGGGGAGAATGACCTTGGCAACAAAAGGAGTGTGGACTTGTTGTCGAGCATAAAAAGAGACTTGAATGCATTCGCAGCCCTGTGTCCCAGAACGACAGTGTTCTGGTCCTCCTTCCTGAAAAGAACTGTGTGGCGCGGTGCGCAAGACTGTATGGCCATTGAAAGAACCAGGAAACTCGTAAATCGGGCGGTAGCCCGTTGGGTGCGCTTTATGGATGGCCGAGTGATTTATCATGACCGTATCCGGATTAGCGACAAAGCTTTATACCGGGATGACGGTGTCCACCTATCAGATCTGGGGAATGACTTTTGGTTAGCTAGTGTCATTAAAAACATCTGGGATTGGTTGCAGCTTTGAGGGTATTGGCGGCGAGCCTTTAGCTCGGGTGGCGGTTAGGCATTGGAATAATGTGTTGCGCTGTGTGGAAGTGCTAGGTGTGGCCATCGCCTATGCCTTCAATTTTTAGGGGTATTCCGTTAAAGGAATCTGGGGGTCGTGTATTCCGTCCGATGCCTGCTTGGCGGGAGGCCTTGGCACGACCCTCGGTGACAGCAGGGGTGAGCCTATAGTTGGATTAGCATCAACAGGCTCCACCTACTGGTGAAGAACCCACTTGTTTCGATCCAATGCCTAAGCCAATACCTTTTCAATGCTGTAACCAATAAAGTTGTGGCCTTTTCTAGCCCATTAACCTTATATCACGTGTCCATGTGTCTTCATTTCACTTCACCGGGGTCGGGTCCTCGAACCACAACACGAATTTGGAAGTGGAAGGAAAGAATATACAGAACCCAGTGGAGATCAGGAAGTGCTTTCAGAGATACTTTAAACAACTTTATACACAGGAGAAGCAAAAAGAAATGGATATTGATCGATTTCTGAAAATAAATGGACTATGCAAAATCTCTCAGGACAAACAGCTAATGTTGAATCATAAGATAACGGATCAGGAGATGGAAGGGGCCATCCAGAACATGCAATTAGGCAAATCTCCAGGACCAGATGGTTTGACTTCAAGATATTACAGATCTTTGAAAGAATGGTTAATACAACCATTGAAAGAAGTCTGTAACGAAATATTGGAAGGAAGACAGGCACCAGAGTCGTGGAAGGAAGCTTATATTACACTTATACCAAAAACAGAGACTGAAAAGACACAGCTCAAGAACTACCGCCCTATATCGTTGCTTAATGTGGATTATAAAATCTTTGCAGATATTTTGGCTAAAAGATTAAAAAGGGTGTTAGCAGAAGAAATTCATAAAGACCAAGCGGGCTTTCTCCCGGGCAGACATTTGTCTGATAATACGAGGAATATAATTAATATTCTAGAAAAACTACAAGTGAACATCAATACTAAAGCAGTCTTGATATTTGTGGACGCAGAGAAAGCCTTTGACAACATGTCTTGGAGTTTTATGAAGAAGAATCTACAGGGGATGGGGGTAGGACAAGGTTTTGAAAATGGTATAGGTGCAATTTATTCAGAACAAAAGGCAAAATTAATTGTGAACAATGTGATGACAGAAGAGTTTAAGATTGAAAAAGGGACACGGCAAGGTTGCCCAATTTCTCCATTGCTTTTTATATTGGTCCTCGAGGTTTTGTTAAACATGATTAGAAAGGACCAAGAGGTTAAAGGTATAGAAGTGGGTGCTAAACAGTACAAACTGAAAGTGTTTGCTACAGGAGCCAGAACCTAGTACTAAAAGGGTATTAGAACTGATTCAAGAATTTGGACAGGTTGCAGGTTTCAAGTTGAATAAGATGAAAACCAAGGTTTTAGAGCAAAATTTAACTGTGAATGAGAGAGAGAAGTTTCAGGAGGAGACAGGGCTAACATTGGTCAAAAAAGTAAAATACTTAGGGGTTAACATGACTGCTAAAAATGTGAATTTATTTAAGGATAATTATGAAAAATGTTGGATTGAAGTGAAAAAGGATTTAGAAGTATGGACAAATTTGAAGTTATCGTTGCTAGGCCGAATTGCTGTGATAAAAATGAATGTGCTGCCAAGGATGTTATTTTTGTTTCAAACATTGCAAATTTTGGATAAGATGGACTGTTTCAAGAAGTGGCAGAAGGATATTTCCAGATTTGTTTGGCAGGGCAAGAAGCCTCGAATAAAATTTAAGATATTAACCGATGCTAAAGAAAGAGGTGGATTTGCCCTGCCAGACCTTAAACTTTATTATGAATCAGCTGCTTTTTGCTGGCTGAGAGAATGGCTGCTTCTTGAAAATACTGAAGTGTTGGATTTAGAAGGTTTCAATAATGTATTTGGTTGGCATGCATACTTGTGGTACGATAAGGTAAAAGTACATAAAGCGTTTAAAAATCATATTGTTAGAAAAGCATTGTTTAATGTTTGGATAAGATACAAGGATTTATTAGAAAAGAAAACCCCAAGGTGGTTGTCACCAATGGAAGCGAAGGCACAGAAAAAAACTCGATATGGAGGCCAAATGGCCGAAATATTGGGAAATCCTGGAACAAGATGGAGACAGAATAAAATTGCAGAGCTTTGAAAAATTGAAAAATAAAGTGCGAGATTGGCTCCATTATTACCAAATAATGGAGGCATACAAATTGAACAAAAAAGTTGGTTTCCAGGTGGAAAAATCAAAATTGGAAACAGAATTGTTAGATCCAAAAACCAAGAATTTGTCAAGAATGTATAACTTGCTGTTGAAATGGAACACACAGGATGAAACGGTGAAATCAGCTATGATTAAATGGGCACAAGATGTTGGACACAACATAATGATGGCTGACTGGGAACAGTTATGGACCACAGGTATGAAATTCATGGTATGCAATGCCCTAAGAGAAAATTTAATGAAAATGATCTACAGGTGGTACATGACACCAGTCAAGCTTGAAAAAATTTATCATTTGCCCAATAATAAATGTTGGAAATGTAATGAGACTGAAGGTACATTCTTTCACCTTTGGTGGACATGCCCAAGGATTAAGACATTCTGGGAGATGATTTATAACGAAATGAAAAAGGTATTTAAATATACCTTCCTGAAGAAACCAGAGGCCTTTCTCCTGGGCATGGTCGGCCAATTGGTGTTAAAGAAGGACAGAACTTTTTTTATGTATGCAACAACAGCAGCAAGAATACTCATCGCGAAGTATTGGAAGACACAAGATTTACCCACCAGGGAAGAATGGCAGATGAAGTTGATGGACTATATGGAATTAGCGGAAATGACTGGCAGAATTCGAGACCAGGGAGAAGAGTCGGTGGAAGAAGACTGGAAGAAGTTTAAAGATTATTTACAGAAACATTGTAAAATTAATGAATGCTAGAAGAATTTTGGAATGAAGTGATATGGCTTTAGTAGAAATGTTATAAGGAATTAAGTATAAATAGATTAATAGAGTATTAAAGGAAAAATAAGGTTAAAATGTGTTAGGATAATTATAGGATAGAAAACAGGGGAAGATGGAAAGGAATTGCTGAAATAATTAATAGATGTGGAATACAAAAAGGGAGGTGTGAGGAGGTCGTGGAAATATGTGAAAGAAAGAAAGATAAGATATTGAAAAATTTCTCTTTTTTCTTTTTTTTCTTTTTTGCTTTGATGTGTTTTTAAACTGTTTTTGTTTTGTCTTGTTAGTTTAATGTTTTAGTATCTCTTTGTATTGTAATGTATTGTTTTTTCTGTGCTTTCTCTTTTTTGTTTTGTTGTAAAAGTAATAAACATTATTAAAAAAAATCTTTTATCAGGCAGTGTTTAATTTGGCTGAGGGATTGGATTCTACTAGAGAAAACAGATATTTTGGATTTGCAGAGTGTCAACAACAGATTTGGGTGGCATGGCTACCTTGGTTATAAGAAGGTAAAAGCTCACAAGAGTGTTCACCATATTGTAAGGAATGCATCATATAAGGCGTGGACGAGATATAAACCACTAATAGAACCAAAAACACCATGTTGGTTGTCCCCATTAGAGGCATTCACAGTTAAAAAATTAAACATGCAAAGCAATTGGGCAACATATAGCCAATTATTAAAAGAAGACCAAGGACACCTGAAGTTAAAATCATTTGAGGAGATAAGACACTATCTTACTGACTGGCTCCAGTTCCATCAGTTAAATAATATATGTGGATAAAAAGCAGGATTTGAGAAAGAAGAATCTAAATTACAAAAATACTATCAAAAAACAATAAGAAATTATTATCTAAAACCTATGAGTTGCTGTTTCTTTTCTTATTTTCTTTTGAATTTTTTGTTTACAGCAGCCAGACTAGTACTGGCAAAAAATTGGAAAGGAGATACTATCCCAAGAATACTAACCAAGAAGATTGGTTAAATAAACTATGTGATTCTATAGAACTGGCAAAGTTAACACCAGACAAATCAGAAACAAAGGAGTGGATGGTAAATGTTTTCAAGACTATAAGAAAAAACACTGGTCTAAAGATAACATGTTAATATGCATAGATAAGTATGTAAAAGCTGAAATAGATAGAATAGATATACTAGGAATATCAGGGACAAGATATAAAAGATGCAATGGTAAAAAGACTGAAAAAAAATAAAGAATGTTGAGGTTTTTGGGGGAGGAAGCCACAGGGGGGATTTGTATATATGTATTTGTTTTGTTTTTTGTTATTTTATTTTTTATGTTAATTTTTATTTTTTGTGTTTTTTTAAGCAAGAAAACAAAAAGAAAAGAAAAGAAAGCAATAATCAATGTACTGCAGTCACACAATCAGTAGCTGAACTGGGTTCCACATAGTCACAAAAACAAAAAGAGCCACAAAAACAAAAACACAAAATAAATAGCAGAAACAGACAGACCTCAGTGTAACACTCAAAATGGAGCATGTTTGGCTTCCGAAATATGTTTGCAATCCGGAACACTTACTTCCGGGTTTGCAGTGTTTGGGTTCCAAGTTGTTTGAGTACCAAGGCGTCTGAGAACCAAGGTACCACTGTAAGAATGTATAATGCTGTAAACAAAAAATTCAAAAGAAAATAAGAAAAGAAACAGCAAACATCACTGCAATTAATAGGACAGTATTTAATGAGTTTTTTGTTTGTATTTGTAGTATTTATATATTTATGATCTATAATTTAAGGAGACTCATAGTCATATACAGTGGTACCTTGGGTTAAGTACTTAATTCATTCCGGAGGTCCGTTCTTAACCTGAAACTGTTCTTAACCTGAAGCACCACTTTAGCTAATGGGGCCTCCTGCTGCCACCGCACCGCCGGAGCACGATTTCTGTTCTCATCCTGAAGCAAAGTTCTTAACCTGAAGCACTATTTCTGGGTTAGCGGAGTCTGTAACCTGAAGTGTATGTAACCTGAAGCATATGTAACCTGAGGTACCACTGTATTCCCACAGAATAGCAAAAGTCATGAACATTTTAAAAAAATTCTTTGGAATCCTGCCTGACAGTCCCCTCCAGGAGACAAGCAAAATTCCTCCTTGTTTAGAAAGGCTTCGGGTTGTGCGACTGATTCCTGCATGCGGTATGATCCATCCCAACTCATGTTCCATGTCAACCACAAGTGAACCCACCTCTTTGGGTTGCTTTGGCTGACTGGCTCAACCTTGGTGTGGCACAAACTCTCATCTTCTGCATCACAATCCTTCACTCAGTGCAGTGATCAACTGGAGGCTGATGGCTGTTCTGGGGTGTCTGTGACTCTGCCTGTTGCATCTTCCACTCTTGGCCTTGGAGAACCTTGGGTGTGCCCTGAACCTTTGTCTCAGCTTAGGACGAATGTGAGTGCTCTTTGAAGGCCCCCTAAGCCCAGAGCTATATGGGTGCTGTGTTGTGGGGGTTCTCCTGTGTTGTGCTAAAAGAACAACAGCTGTGAGTTCAAGCAGTCTGGCTTGTAGGGGTGCCTGGAGACTAGCAGTAGAGGGCTGACTGCTGGATGCACATTGTGTGTCTGATGATGCAGTGGGTGTGCTAGGAGCAGGACTTCTTCATTATGAGTCCATTGGCTGCATGTGGGGGCAGCCTGTGGGTATCCTTGCTGGTGGAATCTAGGAACAGTAGGCTTTGATGGTTTTCCAGGAATGCTGTGTCTGTGACTATTAAGCTGACTTCTAATTTTTGGATTGGTGTGTTTTCCCCTCCCAGGTAGAGTGAGACTGAATAGTAGATATGACAGTTATTTCGCTGGCAGAGCAACAGAATCACTCTCCGGCCGCCCCCATGCACCACCCCTGAGTAAAAGACTGCTCTGCCCATGTTTGTTTTCAGGTCTTATTTTACTGTGTGTTCCCTTGAGGCTCCTTGGAAGGAAAGGTAATAAGCAGATTTTGCAGATAAACCCAGTCCATCCTTAAGTGGTGGGGAAAACTAGACAATTTAATCCATGTTTCACTATCACAAAGGGAGAAAATAAATTAGGGAGTGATCCTTTTCTAGACTGCAGCCAGCTCTGGAAGGAAAATTAATCAATATACTTTAAGTTAGTTGAAGCTTACCTTGTTTTGTCTGACATGCTATATTCATCGGATCTAGTATAAGATCTGAAATGTAATGAGAATTAAGATTACTTAACCTTAATTACATACAGATAAACATACCTCAGTTTTGTCATGGAGTTAGCTTTACTATAATGTCTGAAAGTTAATTAAAGTTAATTATACTGGGGTGGGCAACCTATGACCCTTCAGAGATTGCTGGACTACACCTCCCTTCTTTCCTGACCACTAGCCACCATGGGTTGTTGCAGTACAACAGCACCTGGAGGGTCACAGGTTTCCTATCCTTGCTTTTCTTTCTTTTGTTGTTGGACATCATCTCCCTCCAGTATGGCCAACCACAGCTGGAGGGATACAGCCCCCCTTCCCTGATAAATACTAACAGCAAACTCCTATCTGTGTTATTATGCAGCTGAAATGGCACCTCTGACGCATCAGCAGGCTCAGATGAACCCTAAGGTTTGCAGAAATACAACAAAATTATTAGGAAAAAACCCTAAGCAAGGGACTTTCCACACACACACACACTACAGTAAAACCCCACAGCCCAATGCAAAAGTGTGTGATAGGGGAAAGGGAATGTGGAGGCGGCCATGGCTGAAGACTGCATTCTGTTGCAGGTCCTACTTGTCCAAATTGTTGATGGACCAGAAGATTTCAGGTATGTACAGGGCAGGCCCTGATAAACTGCAGCCAAAGTGACTTACTCAGAATCGCCTAGAGACTCGCTGTCATCTGTGCAGTACTTGCTGATTCGTGCCCATTTGACAATCAGGATGGCTGACCCAACCACAATGGGCAGAAAGAGAAATATGCTCAGGAGCACCCACGTTCGCATGTTGTCTTCTATGACTCTTTCTGTAATATCTAGATGGAAACAAATTTCACAGCAAAGACTGAACCAGGAGAGCTGTCGCATTAGACATTTTTAGCGTGGCATTGCCCAATGCTCCAATTTTATAGAATTTTTTTAAGATTAGAAAGCAAACTCTTTCCACATTGCTAAAACAGCAACAACCAGAAAGGTTTTTTTTATTTTTAAATTAGCATTATTGTGGTATAAAAATGTAATATTGTAGTAACACAGTTTTATAGCACCATTCCTCTCTTTCATTTAAAAAAATAGAGAGCTGGAAAAGTGTTAAATAAAAAGACCATTTAAAAATATATAAATTGGGGTTATAAAATGGCATCCTTCACAAAGGTCATAGTGAATGTGTACTGAGCTGCAGACAGAAGTCAAATCCACAGGTGTCCGAGGAACATAGCAGGTTATACACATAGAAAAATGCCCTACTACTAATGATGTAGGAAATCAGTTGCAGTTCTGCTTGCAACTTACAGCAGAAAAGCAGTAACTGGGTAGCACTAGGAATGTGTTAGCTTCTTTCTCTGCAGTGCTCTCTCTCTCTCTTCTGTGTCTAAGTGCTATCCTCATGTGCAGCTCCTGTTCCTTTCACTGGAGTTTGGGCAAGAGTGTCTCCTGGTAGAGTGTCTCCTGTGCTTCAGGGTTATTACAAGCAGAAGAAGGTATTGTTTGGATTTTTCATTCTGGCACCAATAAGTATTGTTCTGATCCAATTAATTGTAAACCCACACTGACTTTGTACTAGTCCACTGGGATTCAGCTGGCGCATCAGAATGCACAAGTCCATCACAGCCTGGTTAAGGGAGGGGCAGTAGTACTAAAACATTTGCTTTTCACTTTTGGTCTTTGAAAGAGAACTAGAAAACAGGGATGGAGAGAGGGTTTAAATCTATACTGAAAATTTTATACTAGCTTAACTGCCACCCTTCCCCCATTTCCTGGGAATTGCAGTTTAGTTCAGGTACTAAGAATTCTGAAACATTTCCGACTTCCGGGTTGGCGCCATCGGTAATGGCGGATTCCCTCTGACTCTGAGGGACTCTGCTCTACGGAAACCGGGTCTGCACCGCTACGGCGAAGCGGAGACCCTTCAAAAATTACAGGCGGGTGAAGCCTGTGACCGTGGGACTCGGCGGGCACCTTTCGCGCCCCCCAATTTGTAAAGGAGCCCAATTACGGGCTCCAGAGCGAAGCGGGGTGAGCAGTGCGGTGCTGAGAGTCAACTGCTTCTTCCGTGGAGCGAAGCCGCACAGCCATTACCGGAGAGCGCTGACTTTTTCCTGTGAAAATCCGGCTACAAAACAACTACCCGTGAGTAGGTTAAAATTGGAAATAAAGGGAAATAAACACTTCATTCGGCACCGAAGCGGGGAGGCATAAACAGGAAGTCCGCCTTCCGTTTCTTGTAAACAGATCAAAGCAAAGAAGTTGTGAGCTAAGACCTGGAAAATCGATTGAGAAGGACTATAATCCTAACATCAAAACAAGCGATCTCCCCCCTTGGTTGCAGGAGAGGAGGGGGGAAAGGTGTGAATTAAATTTTCCTGCAAAAAGAGAGGAAAGGGAATAGAAATCCATCGCTTAAAACCTGGGAACGGGCTGCCAATGGACGATAAGATGCCGTTTTGTGAAATGCGCTTTCGGTGAATAGAGTACATTTTGACAGCTAATTCTGCAAGAGAGATACATTGTTCCTGGCTGGCTTCTCCTGATTTTAAAGTGACTAAAAAGTACCTGAACTTGAAACTGTTGCCTATTTTGTGAATTGGGGGCTTTAAAAAGAGTTATTTTTCAATGCAACAAGTCTTGACTGTTACTGTGTCCCCCTAGAGGAGGTTTGAAATTGTTACAGGGCCAGGGGAATTTTCCACTTCAAAACAAGCTATAAACCGTGGGATTGACCTTGGACTGTAGTAAGAGTGTTATGGCAGATGGGAAAGAAAAGATAGATTTGCTTCAAGAAAAAACAACGAGGTCTGGTAAATCCTGGCAGCGAAGAGCTTCAGCATCTGGCCCTGCAGCATCTGGTCCTTCTGCCCCATTAGCAGTATCATCTGTACAACCTAAGTCAAAAGTAATGGCATCTGAAGATGTTTTAGCAATTGCACTAGGTAGAATAAATGAATCTCTGGAAAAGTTAAGCAAACAAGTAGCTGAAGCATCAACTAAAATTGATCAAAATACCATAAGTATTAATAATTTGGGACAGAAGGTGAATACTAATACAGAAACCATTCAGAAATTGCTACAGGAATCTACCTTGACCCGACAGACTGCTGAAGAAGCTAAGGAAAAAGCAGTTGCTGTAGAGGAGAAGATACCACCTATAGAAAGACAATTAGAGGACCACAGGTCGATCTTGTCTATGATTGAATTGAAGGAGAAACAAACGAACCTGAGGATCAGGGCTGTACCTGAACTTGAGAAAAACAACCTGATTGACTTTCTTACTCAGGAATTTGCAGACTTTTGGAAACCAGATTTGGAGAAGGAAGAATTTAAGATAGTGAGTGCATTTAGACTTGGAAGAGGGGGGAAGAAGAACAGGGTGAGAGACTGTTTGATTACCCTCCGAACAAAAGAGGAGAGAGACAAAATCTTGAGTCTGCATTTCCAGAAGACCTTGGAAATACATCAGTCAAGAGTGGAGATATTTAAATACATCCCGAAATATCTTTTGGACCTTAGATCAAATTACAGAGATTTGGTTGACCTGTTGAGAGGCAACAGAATTCTTTTTAGGTGGGAATTTCCCCAAGGCCTATCGTTTAGCTTCAAAGGAATAAAAATAAAAATAAGATCAGTGGCTGCCAAAGAAAGATTTTTTAAAGACTTTGAAGATTTGCAGAAAGAATCTGGAGAAGAACCAGGAGCACTAGAAAGAGGAATACTAGATAAAGCAATACTACCTTTTGAATTGGACTACACAAAGAAGGTGACACCACCGACAGAAGAGGAACAAGCACTTGGTGCAGTTGGAGGAAAAGTAAAGTAACTACATCATGGCGTTGCAACTACTAAGCTGGAATACTAATGGTTTGAACTCCCCGCAGAAAAGGAAAAGAATCTTTCATTTATTAAAAAAGGAACAATTAGACTTGATTTGCTTACAGGAAACACATGTAATAAGGTTACACAGGAAACTACTGCTTAATAAAAGATTAGGTCAAGAGTTTATTTCATCGGATAAAGTAAAAAAAAGAGTAGTGATTTATGCAAAGGAGAGTCTTTCACCTCACCCAAATTTATTTTTAAAGACGAGCAAGGAAGATTTGTGGCAATCGAAATCCAAATACAAGGAGAGAAATTTTTGATAGTAGGAGTTTATGCACCAAATGAGGGAAAATCAGAATTCTTTAAAAAGTTGCATGAGACCTTGATGGACTATTTGGACTACAATGTGATCTTGATGGGGGATATGAACGGAGTGGTATCTACAAATATGGATAAGGCACAAAGACAGGTAGTTACTAAGGACGGTAGACTACCAAAAACTTTTTTTGAGATGACTGACAATTTGGATTTAGTTGACATTTGGAGAACAAAGAACCCCTTGGGTAGAGAGGGAACTTTCTTTTCTGAAGCCAAAATGACATGGACAAGAATTGACCAAATATGGGTAACTAGAGTACTGGCTCCAAAGACAAGAAAAGTGGAAATTTGCCCCAAAACTTGCTCCGATCATAATGCTGTGAAGATGGAGATGAAACTAACACCAATTGGCTCTTTTAGATGGAGGATGAATGACACTTTGTTTAGGGATGAAGAAGTGATCAAGAAGGCCCAAAAAACCTTGAGAGACTACTTTGAGATAAATATGAACACCCATGTTGAAAAAAGAGTAATCTGGGATGCAAGTAAAGCGGTCATGAGAGGGTTTCTGATACAACAGAATGCTATAAAGAAGAGAAGAAAGACAAAATTTTGGAGAAAATAAAGGAAAGTGAGAAGAAATTGAGAGCAAAACCTAAGTCGCAAGAAATTTTGAGAGAAATAAAGTTGTACCAAGTACAATACATGAAAATGATGAATCAGGAAATAGAATGGAAGATTAAACAGATGAAACAAAAGACATTTGAGTCAGCTAATAAATGTGGGAAATTGTTGGCCTGGCAAATGAAAAAAAGACAAAAACTCAACACTGTCACAAATTTGGAGGTGGAAGGAAAGAATATACAGAACCCAGTGGAGATTAAAAATTGTTTCCAGAGATACTTTAAACAACTATACACACAAGGGCCACAGAAAGAAATTGATATAGACCGCTTTTTGAAAATAAATGGATTACAAAAGATTTCCCAAGAAAATAAAGTATTGTTGAATTACAAAATAACTGAACAGGAGGTAGAAGGTGCCATTCAGAGCATGCAATTAGGTAAATCTCCAGGACCGGATGGACTGACTTCTAGATACTACAGAACTTTGAAAGAATGGCTAATACAACCTTTAAAGGAAGTCTGTAATGAAATATTGGAAGGGAAAAGGGCACCGGAGACATGGAGGGAAGCGTATATCACACTTATACCGAAAACAGAGACTGAAAAAACACAGCTCAAGAACTACCGCCCCATATAATTGCTTAATGTGGATTATAAAATTTTTGCAGACATTTTGGCAAGAAGATTAAAAAAAGTATTAACGGAAGAGATTCATAAAGATCAAGCAGGCTTTCTCCCGGGTAGACACTTGTCTGACAATACGAGAAATATAATTAATATTTTAGAAAAATTGCAAGTGAATATAAATACAAAGGCAGTTTTGATATTTGTGGACGCGGAGAAAGCTTTTGACAATATTTCCTGGAGTTTTATGAAGAAGAACCTACAGGGGATGGGGGTTGGTCAAGGTTTTGGAAATGGTATAAGTGCAATATACTCTGAACAAAAGGCTAAACTAATTGTTAACAATGTGGTGACAGAGGAATTTAAGATAGAGAAAGGGACTCGACAAGGTTGCCCAATATCCCCATTGCTTTTTATATCAGTCCCGGAGGTCCCTTTAAATATGATTAGAAGGGACCAATTGGTTAAAGGTATACAAGTCGGAGCTAAACAGTACAAATTAAGAGCATTTGCAGATGATTTAGCATTGACACTACAGGAGCCAGAATCTAGTACTAAAAGAGTATTGGAACTGATTCAAGAATTTGGTCAAGTTGCAGGATTTAAGTTGAACAAGTCAAAAACCAAGGTTTTAGAGAAAAACTTTATAGGGATCGAAAGAGAGAGGTTTCAGAAGGAGACAGGTTTGACATTGGTTAAGAAAGTGAAATATCTGGGGGTTAATATGACAGCTAAGAATGTGAACCTATTTAAAGATAACTATGAGAAATGTTGGGTGGAAGTGAAAAAAGATTTAGAAATATGGTCGAATTTGAAGCTTTCACTGCTAGGCTGTATAGCTGTGATAAAAATGAATGTATTGCCAAGAATGTTATTTTTGTTTCAAACATTGCAAATTTTGGATAAAATGGATTGTTTCAAGAAGTGGCAGAGAGATATTACTAGATTTGTCTGACAGGGCAAGAAGCCTAGAATAAAATTTAAAATACTAACGGATGTAAAAGAAAGAGGTGGATTTGCCCTGCCAGACCTTAAACTTTATTATGAGTCGGCCGCATTTTGCTGGCTGAAAGACTGGCTGCTTCTTGAAAACACCGACATTTTGGATTTAGAAGGGTTTAACAATGTATTTGGGTGGCATGCATATCTGTGGTACGATAAGGTCAAAGCACATAAAGCATTTAAAAATCATATTGTCAGGAAAGCTTTGTTTAACGTCTGGATAAGATATAAGGATTTACATGAGAACAAAACCCCAAGGTGGTTGTCACCGATGGAAGCGAAGGCTCAGAAAAAGCTCAATATGGAGGCCAAATGGCCGAAATATTGGGAAATTTTGGAACAAGAGGGAGATAAATTGAAATTGCAGAGTTTTGAAAAACTAAAAAATAAAGTGCGAGACTGGCTTCACTATTATCAAATAATGGAGGCATTTAATATGGACAAGAAAATTGGCTTCCAGGTGGAAAAATCAAAATTGGAAACAGAACTGTTAGACCCCAAAACTAAGACTTTGTCAAGAATGTATAACTTGCTGTTGAAATGGAATACTCAAGATGAAACAGTGAAATCTGCTATGATTAAATGGGCACAAGATGTTTATGATGGCTGACTGGGAACAGTTATGGACCACAGGTATGAAGTTTATGGCATGTAATGCCTTAAGAGTGAATATTCTGAAAATGATATACAGGTGGTACATGACACCAGTCAAGCTTGCAAAAATCTATCATTTGCCCGATAATAAATGTTGGAAATGTAAAGAAACTGAAGGTACATTCTTTCACCTTTGGTGGACGTGCCCAAGGATTAAGGCTTTCTTTGAGATTATTTATAATGAAATGAAAAAGGTATTTAAATATACCTTTCTGAAGAAACAAGAGGCCTTTCTCCTGGGCATAGTCAGCCAATTGGTGTTAAAGAAGGATAGAACATTCTATATGTATGCCACAACAGCAGCAAGAATACTTATCGCAAAGTATTGGAAGACACAAGACTTACCCACTCTGGAAGAATGGCAGATGAAGGTGATGGACTACATGGAACTGGCGGAAATGACCGGCAGAATCCGAGACCAGGGAGAAGAGTCGGTGGAAGAAGATTGGAAGAAATTTAAAGACTATTTACAGAAATATTGCAAAATTAATGAATGTTAGAATGATGTTGGATTGAAGTTAAGTGGTTTTTAGCAGCAATGTTAAAGCTATAATATATTAAGATAAAAGATTAAGATAAAATCTAAGAGGGAAAGGATTTGCTGAATTAACTAATTGAATTGGAATACAAAAAAGGGAGGTGTGAGGAGGTCTGGGAAATAAGCAAATGAAATATAAGATATGGAAAGACTGAATTGTTTTTAAATGTTTTTATTTTGTATTTTCTGTTTTTTCTTTTTGTAACATTTTGAAAACTTTAATAAATATCTTTAAAAAAAAAAGAATTCTGAAACATTTCACTCACACTCACTCTCATAAACACACAGCCTACAATCCTAAAGTTCCTTTGGAAGAAGGAATGATTATTAAGCTAATGTGCTGTCACTTCTTAACTTGTTCTTTCTGCCTTGAGAAAGACAGAAAATTCAAGGGAAGAATAAAGAGGGGAATGAATGGGTTAAAACATAAATCAAACCCAGTCCCATGGTTTCAGGTTGAGATGAAAGGTGGGTCCTAATTCTAAACAGTTTGGAAACTACTGCAGCAGAGCTATTTGTCAGGATGGAAGGTCCTGCTTTTACTGACCAGAAGCCAACATACGAAGCCCACTGTCAATGCTTCCTCCTAGGGGGCCTCCTTTTTCCTTGCAATTTGGAGGTGCCCAACCTGGATCACAGTGGCAGTTTCTTTTGTTGTTGCAAATCTGAAGGTGGGGGAGGAATAGCAAACATTTACTCCTTGCTTACGTGCTTTATCTTAAAAAGAAAAATATGCTTTAAGAAAACATTATTATTCTTATTACTTCCTGAGTAGGGCCTCAGTTCTAGTCTAAAATAAAATTAAGGATAAAGTAGTAGTAGTAGTAGTAGTAGTAGTAATTATTATTATTATTATTTCATTATTTGTTCCCCGCCCATCTGACTGGTTTGCTCCAGCCACTCTGGGTTGCTTCCAGCATATATAAAAACATAATAAAACATTAAACATTTAAAAATTTCCTATACAGGGATGCCTTCAGATGTCTTCTAAAGGTTGAATAGAATATCTCCTTGACATCTGATGGGAGGGCGTTCACAGAGAGGGCACCACTACTGAGAAGGCCCTCTGCTTAGTTCCCTGTAACCTCACTTCTCGCTGGGAGGGAACTGCCAGAAGGCCCTTGGAGCTGGACCTTCAAAGGTAGCCCCACGTAGAGTATGCTGCAGTAGTCCAAGCGAGAGATAACCATGGTATGTACCGCTGTGCTGAGACAGTCCGCAGGCAGGTAGGGTCTCAGCCAGCGTACCAGATGGAGCAGGTAGACAGCTGCCCTGAAAATAGAATTAACCTGTGCCTCCATGGACAGCTGTGAGTCCAAAATGACTCCCAGGCTGCGTGCCTGGTCCTTCAAGGGCACAATTACCCCATTCAGGACTAGGAAGTCCTGCCCACTGTCCCCCAGAAACAGTACTTCTGTTTTGTTGAGGTTCAACCTCAACCTGTTAGCTGCCATCCATCCTCCAACCACTTCCAGACACTCACACTGGACATTCACTAGTTCCAATTTAAATGGAAGGGATCCAAATTTTCCACATCCTCTAGACATGCCTGGAGCTGTTGAGCAACCACCTGCTCAATTACTTTGCCTAAGAATGGAAGATTTGATGATAATTGCCCATAATGGCTGGGTCCAAAGGGAATCAGCTGAGAGGCCATCAACAGGGGAACGCTTCAGGCACTCAAGAAAATACCAAATAGTTTCTGAGGGAAAACACCACCGTCTCCTTTTTATAGCTGAAACACTAACATGGAAAATATAACATTCATTTTACTTACTCCATGCCCAAAGCACTTTTTTGTAGGATCACAATCATATTTCAGGACGCCATACTTTTCACATACTTGTTTGATACAAACCTTTTAAAAAAGCAATAGCATTTTTCAGTTTTCAGAAGAGTTGCTGCCCTGCAACAGACCTTTTGCGTCCATCAGACCTTATCTATGAGTGCTTCCAGACAGGTGTTTATTGTGAGATCTGAATGCAATATTTTTCCAGTGTATGTACAACGTCATCTGCATCCAAGTGCTAGTCTGTATTTTCCCCTCCTCCATTAATCCAGATCTACCCTTTTTACAGGAAAACCGCATTATCATGGGAGGTTGTGGGGTGGGAAACAAGATGAAGCATAATGCCCAGCTTTCATCCCATCCTCTTGTCAAGCACCAATGTCTTAAAAACCTTTTCCTCTTCCTGTCTCCTCCACCTCCTATGAAAGTCAGAGGGCAGCTAATGAAGCCAGCAGGCCGATTCAGGAGTCAGTGGCAAGTGGCTGCTAGGGGCAGTACAAGCTTGGGGGGGGGATAGTGGTCACATCTCTGCCCGCTGCTACAAGCAGCTATTTTCTCACTTGCTTCCCCTTTTGCAATCAGCAGTAGTAGCAACTCTTGCTTGGCCTCAGCCTGGTGCAAGAGGAAAAGGAAGAGGAAGAACTGGAGGAAGAACACCATGGCAGTAGGGGTACTCCAAATGGGCATATGGAGAGCCACCAGAAACCTGCAGCTAGCCCTGCATCATCCCCAACTGAAAGGAAGCCTAAACATGTAAATACCTGAAGGGAACTTTAGGCCAGGGACAAAGAACCCTTTTCAGGTCAAAGACCATGTTCCCCCCTGGCCAGTCTTCCAAGGGCCATATGCTAAAGTGGATGGAGCAAGAGAGATGACAGAAGCTGGCCATGCAAGTCTGTGGCCATGCTGTGTGGGTTGACATGCACACCCCTCTCTCCCTCTTCCACTCAGGCAAGCAAGAGGTGTCAGCACTGCTCAGGGACATGTTGCAGCCAAGCAAGAGCAGTCCAGGAGGGCACAGGGCAAGGCCAGCGAGAGATTAGATCTGTGGAGGGGGCATAGCCTGAGGAGCACTGAGCCCCCCCCCCCCCGCTTTCGGCACTTATGAACAAACAACATCTAATTGCATTTGCTGATTTCCATCTCTGCTTCTCCCATCGCTCCCAGCCCATCATACCTGTCCCCTCATAGCTGAAATTTAGATTTTAAGTTCTTCAAGCATGAGACCAGTGGTCTTCCTTTTGCTTATGCTGCTCTCTAGGACACCATACGCACTGGTGACAACATTTAAGTAACAGTAATAGTCATGCTGTGTCAGATTGTATCACTTACCTTTTTAGTTCCACATTTTGTACCATCTTTCACCAGCATTGGGTCCGGAAAGCCCTCTGGTTGTTGAAGGTCCAGAGATATACAAAGGGTATCTTGGAAAGGAGTGTACAGAATTGGAATGTTCATGTCAACATAAGGCTTTCTGGTTGGATAGACGCAAATTAACTTTCCACATTTGATATCCCTATCAAAGGCATTTGGAGAAAAGAACAGGATCACACATTTGCAAAGAGTTGGGGATTATGTATTGGAAATGTTTTTTTCACCTCCAAAATATCAGATTTAACAACTGAAGTATATTTTTGAACATGTTACCTAAAAATGCATGCTTTTCATTACACAGATGACATGTGGGAGGGGCTGTCATTCCTCAACCTTTGAAACATCTGGCATCAAAGATTACTGCCCAACAGTTTGTGCCCAACGGATTTATTTTGGTATATCTTAATTTGTTGTTGTAGTATGGTTTTTCTCTATTGATTTTCATATGTGAACTACCTTATAATCATTTTGGTGAAAGGCAAGCTACAATTAATTAATTAATTAATTAATTAATCCTTCCTCTCAATCCATTTTTCTTTTGTGTTGTGTCCTTTATTTTTTCAAATTAGTTTTTATTAAAGATTTTATTGTGTAGCAAACAAATAGACAAAAAAGTACATATTGTGTCTCTACTTTCAATTCATAGTTTTTTTCACAGTTCGTTAACATTTAGTACTAGACACATATGCGATTGGGGGACAGGAGAGAGGGAAGGGGAGAGAGATGAGGGGATATTGATATTTTGTTCTGTTGTATAGTTTGTGCAGGGTTTTTATGTCAGCATCGTGTGGGTAGGTCCTCTATATATTTATTCATTTATGATGGCATTGCGAGAGATTTGAGTGTCCAACGCTCGGTTGGTTGTGTTCAGTTAGTTGCAGTGTGGTTTGTTTGTTTGTTTGTTTGTTTGTTTGTTTGTACGAGGGTATGGGGTTGTTGGGTCAGATTACCCATATTGATTCTTATGCTGTTGGGGTGGGGGAGAGAATAGATCATTGTCTTGTTGTGCTGTATATATGATAAAGGGGAGCCACACCCGTGCTACTTTAAGTTTGTTGGTTAACTTTTCTAATAGGGCAGTTTTCTATACCTTTTGGTACTAGTGGTCTATATTCACTCCTGATAGGTCATTCCAGTGTCTAGTCATGATGTTTTTAGTTGCTGAGAGTGTGACTTGTCATGTGAGTTGTTCCTTGGAAGATATTTAATAGGACTAATTCTGGAGTTGCTTCTATTACTTGTTTTCTTATTATGCAGATTTCCTGCAGCACTGATATACAAAAGGATTAAATTTGGGGGCATTCCCACCACATATGGAGGTACGTGGCCATGGAAGTGCAGCCTCTCCAGCATTTAGATGAGGAAGTGCCAGATTCCGTGGTGTTAGGTTCCATCTATAGATAAGTTTCAGAATGAGTTCTCTTCTTTTGGCTGAGATGGATTTAAATGATGGCTTTCACCACATTTTTGACCATTGGATGAAGTTTATTTCATATTCTATGTCATGCTCCTATTAGTCTTTAATTGTGGTGAGGGGTTTGTACTGTTTGTAGTGCAGAGTTTTATATAAAGACCTACATTGGCTCCCAGTACGTTTCCGAGCACAATTCAAAGTGCTGGTGTTGACCTTTAAAGCCCTAAACGGCCTCGGCCCAGTATACCTGAAGGAGCGTCTCCACCCCCATCGTTCTGCCCGGACACTGAGGTCCAGCACCAAGGGCCTTCTGGTGGTTCCCTCATTGCGAGAAGCAAAGCTACAGGGAACCAGGCAAAGGGCCTTCTTGGTGGTGGTGCCCGCCCTGTGGAACGCCCTCCCATCAGATGTCAAAGCGATAAACAACTACCTGACATTCAGAAGACATCTTAAAGCAGCCCTGTTCAGGGAAGTTTTTAATGTGTGATATTTTAGTGTATTTTTGGTTTCTATGGAAGCCGCCCAGAGTGGCTGGGGAAACCCAGCCAGATGGGCGGGGTACAAATAATAAATTATTATTATTATTATTATTATTATTATTATTAAAATATTTGTAGATACCACTCCTTTGCTGTGTCTCTCTGTTGTTAGGAGGAGTTTTTCAATGTTAGTCAGTGCCCTGATGGCTGCTGCTTTTGGTGCTGTGTTGTTTAAGAAGGGGTGTAGTTGGTGGTAGGTCAGTGTCCCTTAGTTTGTCTTGTATTTTTTGTGCTGATATGGGGTTGTCATTTTTGTGAAACTGGGTTAGGTGATGTAGGCCTTTAGCTAGCCAGGTCTGGCAAATGAGCGGTGGGTGGGGTTTATTCCAGAGTATTGACATTTCCATGTTCCAAGGCAGAAAAGCCCTCAGTACCATGTGCAGGAGACAAACCACAGGCTTGGGCTGTTCCCTTGGTGCTCTGCTTGTGGGCTCTGCATCTGGCTCTCTGTATGAAACAGAATGCTGGACTAGATGGACCTCCTGTCTGACAGTCTTGTGTTCTTATTTATTATGGGCAGTATTCAACTTGCACATCCAAATATCCAGTGGCGTAGCGTGGGTTGTCAGCACCCGGGGAAAGGCAAGTAATTTGCGCCCCCTAACCCATGGATTTGCGCCCCCTAACCTGTGGATTTGCACCCCCTAACCCATGGATTTGCCCTAACCCTAGATGTTGCGCCTGGTGCGGCTGGCCCCCCCTGCACCCCCCATGCTACGCCACTGCGAATATCACAAGGGTTTAAGCTTGCACAGTAGAACTTCCCCCACCCACACTCCCCAAAAATCTTCAGAGGGCTGGGGAAGAACACAGAGCAGATTACTAGGTGCTTGGTGGGAGGAGAAAGTGGTGAGTTCTGTTGGGTGACTGCTGCTGGGAGGCTGAGAGGAGACAGGCCCAGCAGGCAACATGACAAAACGGACTGTAATTGTAAGGGCACCTGATTTAGCATCAACTTATCTTTTTCATCTTTTTTGGTAGTTCCCTTTCCACCCTTGCAAATCTAGAGATGCAAGGATAATATTTTGTACCTCAATGTCCTGTTCTCCTCCTACAGGCTGGTTGTTACAGCAGGTAAAGGTAAAACGTTACGGACCCCTGGATGGTTAAGTCCATCCAAAGGCAGAGCTCATCTTGCTTCAGGCAGAGAAAGTTGGCGTTTGTCCACAGACAGCTTTCTGGGTCATGTGGTCAGCATGACTAAACAGCTTCTTGCACAATGGGACACCGTGACAGGTGCCAGAGTGCACAGAAACACCATTTACCTTCCCGCCACAGCTGTACATATTTATCTACTCGCACTGGTATGCTTTTGAACTGCTACGTTGGCAGGAGCTAGGACAGAGCAACAAGAGCTCACCCCATCACATGGATTCGAATCGCCAACCTTCTGATTGGCAGACCCAAGAGGCTCAGTGGTTTAGACCAAGTGCCACCCCGCGTCCCTTGTTACAGCACCAGAGACAGAGCCTGGTGTGCAACTTGCTGCAAGAAGACTTTGAAAAGTGGTAGATTTAGGGCAGTGTGACTGGTTCCCCTGCCCAGGGCACAGGAGTCAAGGGTGCACCTCCTCACCTCCTTCCCAAAGCTTTGTAAGCACTGGGCTTTGGGAAGGAGGCGTGAGGGCTCTGATAGGACCCTAGAGTCCTCCTGCTTCCTTCCCAAAGCCTAGTTAGCACTTGCCCAGCTTTAGGAAGGAGGTGGGAGGGAGACTTGTGCTTCCTTCCCAAAGTTTGGTGCCTCCCTTCCCCGGCTTTTGGAAGGCAGCTTTGGGTGGAGTGGGGAACACGTCAAATTTGGGCCTCACACAGGGCACCATATTACCAAGATCCGCCCCTGCTTGGAAGTGAACTGAGGGCTTGTAAACCTCTGTCTCGAGGCTCTGCTCCCTTTGGGGAACTAGAATCTCCTAAAGGGCCTGAAAATAGGCACTTCTTCAGTGCTCCATGACCTCCCATTTGGTGTGCTTCTTGCACCGTTGGACTGACAGTGTGGGAGACACTGTGTTCATTGGTCTTCGGGGAAGAGATGCCCATGACAATCCTGGCTCCAGCACCATGGGCCTTGATGCTGTGGGATGTGGTTCAGCAGACACCTGACTGTCAACCACAGTTTAGTGGGACTGACCACCAGCATCAAGGGTCAGGGTCAGAAACCCAGTGCCGTCCCTCAGCTAGTGACACAGGAGCCTCCAACTGGGTGTCCTAGTCCCTGTGGATCATGACAGCCCACTCCACCTGGCTAACTTGATACTATAACAACAGTAAAAACATGCACCATACAATAGAAGATGCCCAAGCCGCAAGCCCACAAACATCCTGCCACACTTCTCCCCCTGAAAAATTTATTTCAGTTTCTTCTGTTTCCTAATCACATACCGAAAAGAACAAGTCTTAAATCCCTTTCGTATGTCAATCCCACAGTGTCCAAATCTATCTGTCTGACCATTAATTTCTTCATAACATGCTTGAGGAGCACTTTTTGACTCTATAAATATTAAAAGAATTTTGATTAGAATAACTAAAATGAAACATTTAATAGTTTTCTTTTAGCAATGCTCTTAACAGATACTTTCATATGTGTACAAACAAATCAGTCTGATGCATAAATTGGATTTGCCTCTGCAAATAATGAATGTTAGCCCTGAAGGTGCTGCAAGACTGTTGTTTTCACTGAAGCAGAATTATTTAGTTATTTAAGATATCTTCTTCATGCAGCACATAGTTAAACAATGGAGATCGCTGCAAGATGTAGTGAAGGCCACCAACTGAGATGGATTTAAAAGGGGATTTGCAAAATTATGAATGGTAAGTCTATAGATAGCTACTAGCTATGACGGCTCTATATACAGTATAACTTCCTGTAGAAAGAGGCAGAAGGAGCAGCAGAGCTACTTGTAGGCTTCCTATAGGCATCTTGTTGGCTACGGTGAGAACAGAATCCTGACTAGATAGGCCTTCGGTCTGATTCAGCAGGATCCCCCATAAAGGCATTTGATGAAGGGCTTCACCAAAACAACATAAATGAACAGGTTGGCATGGTAACTAACAGCAGTTTGGCTTGTGCCTAAGTGCAGTTAGGTAGCTAGTAGAGTGATTTTAAAATTGGCATAAAATGCATAAACCTGGTCATATCAGTCAGAATCCTGGTAGCCATTTTCTGCACTAAGGAAGAAGAAGCATGCCTTGGAAACCAGCCACATTGGGACTAGTTGCAAATGTGGAAGGCAGAACAACTGACACTATGGGCTTCCCCCTCCAGCCAGCTCAGGCGAAAGGGCATATGTGTCAGGAGAGCCCCCCAAACAGGGTGTGGGGAGAGGAGGGGGGAGAAGGTTTCATCTGCCAAGCAGAAATGCTTGCATTGTTATGGAACAATCTAAATACAGTGGTACCTTGGGATGCGAACGGGATCCGTTCCGGAGCCCCGTTCGCATCCTGAATAGAACGTAAGACGCGACTGCGCGTCTCTCGTGTGCACGGGTCGCGTTTCGCTGCTTCCGTGCATGCGCGTGATGTCATTTTGACCATCTCCACATGCGTGAGCGGCGAAACCAGGAAGTAACGCACTCCGTTACTTCCGGGTCACTGCGGAGCGCAACCCGAAAATTCTTATCCTGAAGCATATTTATCCCGAAGTATGACTGTACAGTAGTGTGACGCTGAATTCTGCTCAAAGAGTTCAAGAGAAACCCAGGACTCATTCAACGGGCAAACTGGTATAAAATTGAGGAAAGCTCATGGTATAGGTATGAGTGGGCATGCACACACAATTTGGTTACAGAAGGAAGCTGCTTGCTTCCTTGGTTGTTCTTTTTAAGAGTAAATATTTCATTTTGTTTTTAAAAGAAGCCAAAAAGCAAGTTGTCTCACTTACTTTCACCAAAAAGATCCTGACACTGTAGATCAGCTGCCTGACAGGATCCACCATAACAGTAGCCAGCATTAGAAGCACAGCTATAGCCATTCTGGGCATAAACATTGCTTGGGCAGGACGCCGAACTGCCATTGCAGTACTCAGGGAAATCGCAGACACTATCTACAGCTGCTCTACAGATTGTGTTTCTTGGCTTAAACTAGGTGAAAAGGAAAATGAAGAAGGAAAGTATCAATAGCATTTTTCACGGAGGACTACAGCTAGGGTTGAGGAGGATTCCTGTTGACTCCACAATTTGCAGTTAACCTTCCCATTTCATTATCCTCAGATTTATGCACAGGTCCTAAAGTTGTTTAAGCCACATAATCACTGGACTGAACAGGGCACATGCCCACACAGTCCTTACAAGATGGTCTAAGGCCTGTCTCTTTCTTTAACTCTTAAGAGGTTGTAAGCTGCTTAGAGCAGCTCCATAGCCAAACACAACATGTGGGAACCATATGGAAAAAAGTGGCTGCCTACCTATGGTGTCTGACGTCTTTTTTCCACTCATTGTACAGAAAAATGTGCAGATGGCATGCTAGCATGGTCTTCCTGCAGGCTGTTTATTGCCTCAATATGAGTATTTATGTGCATGTTTTACATATTTAGTTCCTCATATTCCACCCTTACTTTGAACACAAGCACCGAGTGGTTGACGACACTGTTGGGGATTGCTGTAAAAACTAGGTCATTTGTTCTCAGAAAATTGTTATCTATGTTAATTATTGACATGAGTTTGGGGAGTTGCCCACCACCTGCAAGGTCAAAGAAATGAAGTGACAAGTGCCAGAGTGCACAGAAACGCCATTTACCTTCCCGCTGCAGCAGTACAGTACCTATTTATCTACTTGCACTGGTGTGCTTTCAAACTGCGAGGTTGGCAGGAGCTGGGACAGAGCAATGGGAGAAACAAGGCTTCGATGAAGAATCCCCTGGGAAACAGACTGTGGGACTAGTTTCCTGAACCATTAGTAGTAGTAATAGTATCATTTTATTATATATTTATTTATCTCTTCCCTAGAGATTAGTGAAGCCCTGCCTTGGGCTGAGCAGAGAGTCTATTCTGCCTGAAGGCTAGATGAGTTGCCGCTGAAGGTATAATTTGAGTGCAGTGAGCCATCTTTGATCAGTAACTGCATTCCCTGTTGTGGCTGCAGCCTTTGGGGCATTTGGTATGAATTGCTATATTGTAGCCTGGTGGCCATGTGCATTGCTTTGCAATCAATAAAACCGTCTCCTTTTTGTGATTTGGATTTCTCCTACATGGTCTGCAGAACTCAGGTAAACCTTCACACTCACCTGTGTCAGTGCTTACATTGCTGCTGAGATCCCGAGATTCTTTCCCTACCCTTGAACAACGTCAGCATTTAATGCTGATATGGAAATCCTCAAAAGTGGCATTCCATCTTTAAAGGAAATTTTTCCTTGATCTGATTGCAGTTCAAAGTTAATTAGCATCTTACATCAGGCTGCAAATGGTTGTAACTAACTAAGTTCTACTCACAGTAGACACATTGAAATTAATGAAACTAAGCTAGCCATGTCCATTAACTTTGATGGGTCAGCTTTGTGTAGGATGAGCATTGGCTGCAACACAGAGGTTACGGAGATAAAATTCAGAGGAAGTGGTAGTGTCAATTCAAACAAACTGAGGTGAATGTGTGGCCAAGGCAGTGAAGAGAGTACTTTAGCATCTTACCTGACAGTTTTCACAGCACAATTCATTGCTGCACACTGCTCCACGGAGAAACGTACATGAGCTAGTACAACATTTACTGTGCTTACATTCCTGAAAACAAAAATCATACAGCTTTTTGTTTGGGGTCAGTAAAGAGTTTAGACAATGAAAAAAATGAAAGTGAAAGCTGAAACTCCAAAGCTTAAGGCCAACAGGGCACTCTGTTGTTTTATCTTTTTTTGTAAGCTTTGAGGTTTGTTTTACAATCAAACTGTGTATGAATTTTATTAAATAAATAAATGTAAAGGTTTATACATGGAATCTGCTCAAATCTTTTCTGCTACATCATGCTTTTTTACACAGAGGAATTTCAAAATACAGGAAAGGACAAGAGGGAAAGGTTGACTTCAAATTTTACTCAAATAAACCTGATTTATAATACTATTTTTAATATACGAACCACTTCCCAGAGGTATTTACAAATATATATCAGTTACAACTATTATATATAACAAAAATCTTAGTATATACAGGTATTTAAATAAAAATAACAGTCTAAAACAACACCAGCACATAACATTAAATCAGTTCAGATTCAATATAGACATCAGCTGGGATAAAGATATCCATTTAGAAGGCTTGTTGAGATATCAGTTATGAGATTCTGTCACCCCCACCCCACCCCACCAGAAACCAAGCTGCCACTATCAAGAGTATTATGAGCAGCCTGGGGGAGGAGGGGTGCTGTTTAATCATTCCCTTCCTGTAGTTTGTATGTACATCATCACCCCCTTATTTGCTTTTATACTCAACAGAGGGGGGGGGGATAAAGGTTCAATGTATCTTTCTTCTTATAGGGAGATAGAATGCTTCGGGAGGGCATTTTTTTGCCCACTTTTCAGTCATTGTGGGAAAATGGGGCACATGGTAATGTTTAGCTCCCTCTTCTGGGGGTCCTTTGGAGCGTCTTTAGCATGGGGTCTTTCCAGCCCTGCTGCCTGGAATTCTACAGATGGGAATATTCAGAATCAATTCCAAGTTCTTCTGCATATGGGGCATGTGATCTGTCACTGACTACCCCTTGATGCAGAAGAGAGAAACTGCTCACCTGGGGCTCTGGATGGGCAAAGTCTGCTGGATGGTGTGGCCGTGGTGGGTCCAGGGATGCCACCATTTTCTGCTGCAGCTGGGGGAAGGAGTGGTTACCTGGCATCACCCCACCTCCATCTGCAACAGCTTTGCAGGTATGGGCAGGCAGTGCCTGTAGGTAGGGCCAAATCAATGGCAGGGTTTGGAAGGCTGCATCCAGCCCATCCCTGGCCTATTTAAGAGAGCAGCCAGGTGCAGGTCACCCTCTTGCCTTATTGTCACTGGATTTTCCACCCACCCAATTAGGGACTGCTCAATGGGAGAGTGGGCAAGTGGCATATGAACCTTGCTGTGATTTACTCGGCTGTCGTATTTGTGGCCAGAGAGGAATTTTCTCCTGCAAGCAAACTGGCCGCTTTGCAGGTTTTCACCTACCTCATAGCAACCGTCGCAACTTGGGTAGATGAGGCATTGGACTGGATCCTTAGTCACAGGGGTACACTGTTAGAGGTGTCCAGGAAAGGTAACTCTGTCTGGGAGTCCACAGGGGGAACGATGGGCCAATACACCTCTACAAATGGTGGCCTGTGTGGAGTCAAGACACCCAATCTACATTGGGGGCAACTCCCCAGCACAGGATGGAACCCACTGGGTCCATATCAGGTAGCAGACAGGCTGCCTGATCAGGATACATGCCCAGTGCCTTAGCCAAACCTACTCTTTCCTGTGATCAGTGAAGTTGTGACCTTATTCAACCCAATCCCAGTCTGCTGTGCCCATTCCTGTGGACCTCCCTGCACCTGCAGCAGCCATTATGTGCCTGTGCTAGCAATGTGTACAGGCTCTAAGGAGGAGTAAGGACCACCCTCTAGTCTGGTGATGAAAACAAAGGATACGATTCTGTGGTTGGTGGGGAAGTCATCTGGAGAGCACCTTCTCAATTTCACATTGAAGCAGTTGGAAACCCGAAGGCAGGCTGGAGCCCTCAGAGGCCTTCCCGAGCCCTCACAAGTTCCCATCCCCTTGCTCTTCCCTCCACTGAAAGAATATCTGTTGAGCCAGTGGAAGGGTTTTTCTCAAGTCTGTGTTCAGGGAGAATGGGGTACCTGCCATAACAGCTGTAATACAGCTGAAAGGTGAGGTGCTTTTCACCTTGCCAGCTCTCACATGTGTTTTCTCTTCATCAACCTGGTGCCCTCCAGGTGCTTTGGACCACAGCTTCCATCATGCCCAGCCAGCATGGCCAATAGTCAGGGAAGACAGGCGTGGTATTACAACAACATCAGGAGGGCCATTTTCCCCTGCTACTGTATTATAACTTGTATCCATAACCCTGGGTGTTGCACATCAAAAGCCTATTGAAATAAAAAGCCTCTTCAATTTCTGGCAAAAGAGACAGCAGTGATGACTGGTGCCCATTGGGACAGGCAGGGCGGAAGGCAGGGAGACTAACAGTAACAAGGGTCAGAGCCAACAACAGACAGAACCAACTCATTCTGGTTTTGTCCCCATCCCCATCCTTGCTGATTTATCCAAGGGACAACATTGAGAGTGAGAGGAAGCCGACTGTCATCCCATGGACTAGTTAAAAGGTGGGCAGGTGAGGGGGCACTGAGGTTGGTAGGGCAAAGCCTCATTTGCCCTTTGAACCAGCCACTGCTGCCTGCCAGTTTTCAATTGATAAAAAAACAGTGAGCTACAGAGAGGACCTGTTTCTTGTGCTCACTCAAGAAATATACTGTATTGAGATGGCACCAAGAACAAGGAATCTGACAGCTCGTTCGGTAGAGCATGAGACTCTTAACCTCAGGGTCATGGTTTCAAGCCCTATGTTGGGCAAAAATATCCCTGCATTGCAGGGGATTGTTCTAGATGACCTTCATGGTCCCTTCCAACACTACAATTCTATGATTCTCTGACTTTCATCTTAATTCCTAGGCAGATATATATTGGTCCCAAAGCTAACCTGGTTCTAAGCCAATGAGCTTTTTGTACTGTTATTTGGATATAGGGTTAGTTTTAAATTTCTGACAGTAAACTGGTCTTCACACATATATATGGTCTCCTGTTGGCTTTGGTTGGCTTTTCAAATAACTGCTACATAGTTTCTCATTTGATAACCATGTTGTTTTTAAATTTCCAAAGCTGTGCTAGAAGAGAATGCAACAAGTATTTTTCCAATTTAAACACATCAGGAGCAGGCAAAAACAACCAGAAGGGCCATAGCTTAGTGCTAGAGCATCGGTTTTGAATGCAGAAGGTCCCAGGTTCAATCCCCATCATCTCCAGGTAAGCTCGGTTTAAGGCAGCTGCCAGTTTTCCAAAAGGGGTGTTTGCAGCAGCCCTGGAGGCTTCCCAGAGCAAAAGTGGAAAGCAGGCACAGGTAGGTGGGAGTTATTCTAAATGTCTGCTTCTCTGTTTAATTTAAATAATCAACCCCAAACCCTGGAATAGGGCAGAATACACATTCAAATGAACAAACTTGGAAAACAGGAGGTACTGACCTCTTCAGAGCCACAGTCACACTTCTCTCCAGCTTCCAGAACACCATTCCCACAAAGTGCTTTGCTTCTGGCACTTCGCTTCTTATAAAACAATTTTAAATTAGGTCGATTAGAGAGGCAGTGGGCTCCCTTGAATTTAATGAAATTTTGGAAGTCCTTAATGCTGCAGCTGCTAAAAGCTTTAATTCCACTTGAAAGTCTAAAACATAGTAAGATGAATCTGCTATTATTATATGGCAAGCACAAATACACACACAACATATTTTGTTATAAAAAATAAAAACAAGAGCTCCTTTGTTCTTATGCATGCTGAATGGAGGGCTGCCGAGTGCCGCAGGAGGCCAGGCCAGTCTCTGAAACCTGGAAAGTGACTTGAGCAAACTTTAAAATATATATATATATATATACGAAAGCAAATATATATATATATATATATATATATATATATATATATATATATGCAGGTTTTGGTGTCCTCGGGTGTCTTCCCGTGTAAAAGCCAACTTTTACACGGGAAGACACCCGAGGACACCAAAACCTGCATTCCTGTACCCGTGAAAATCTACGAAAGCATATATATATATATATATATATATATATATATATATATTATGGAGTTTTCAAGAAGTTTTGTTACAGTCTGCACAGTTGCAGACATGGTTCCAAGGCATCATATTGAAGCACTATAAGGTAGGAGGCAATTATTAAAAATGAGTATTTATTTTGTCCTACTTTCAGCTGGTAAACATCCACACCATAGATTTAAAGCACATGACTTCCCCCAATTATCTGGGAACTGTAGTATACCCCTCACAGAGCTACACTTCACAACCACAAAGTATAGTTTCCAGGATTCTTAGAGGGAAGCCATGTGTTTTAAATGTAAGTTGTGGGTGTTTTGCAATTATTGAAAGAATGCAAAAGACCTGAAAGAACTTGCTGTCAAGAGGCAAAAGGAGAAATGAGTGCACACAGCATGATCCCTCTTTAAAACCACCTCCAATTATCTTGAGGGGGGGAATAGCATAAGTCTCCAGTATTAAACAAGGTTTACCCTTTCTACTTACTGGATTTTTTTCCAGTTACATTTGGTACAAAATGATAACAGCAGATACCAAATCTATCAATAGCAGTGGAAGATTTTTGGCTCTTCAAAGTTTGCTAGTGCACAAGCCCTATTTATACACAGGTATAGCAGAACTTCACCCCTTATGGCAGGAGTGGGGAACATCAGACCCACGGGCATAAATTAGGCTTTCCTGGCCTCTGAATTTGTCCCAGAAGTTGAGAAGTTTTTAATGTGTGGTGTTGAATTGTGCTTTTACTATTTTTTGTTGGGAGCCACCCAGAGTGACTGGGGCAACCCTGTCAAATGGGCAGCAAATAAATGTTGTTGTTGTTGATGACAAACCACAGGAGATAAGCCTGTGCCTGTTATTTGATGGTAAACTGCAGAAGAGTAGCCACCATTTCTGTTATCTCCAATCTCTGTACAGTGCTGAGATAGGAGATGAGCTCTGCTGCTGCCTTCCACTATCAAAAGTACAAGCAAAGGCTTATGTCCAGTCCTAACATCTATGAGCTGCTTAGTGCTTAGTCATAGTACTTACACTGCTTCCGTGTTCATTATGCAGACAAAGCCTCCTGGGCACTTGCACTCTTTGCCATTGTCATATTCCATCCCCAGGTTAAGGCCCAGCAATTGGGCCAGAATGACGGAGAATGGCTCTTTGGTCATGGACTTCTGATACTAGAAGGAAGAGGGAAAACTTGAATCAGGAACCAGATTTTTTCACCCCATTATGGGAGACTAAATGCAAACAAGTCTCTTTGGTCCGTATTTTAGGAGTGTAGTGAAGTTGGGAAATCTTGGTATGTCAAACGCTGGTTCACACAGCAGTGAGGCATTGTGGGAGAGATAAAACTGTTGCTTTCTGGGGAATTGGTGTCTGGTCTCTTTAAACGTAAAAACTGTCTGCCGCTAGAAGTGTGAGTCAATTACTTCTTGACTCTAGGCAGGATGAGATATTATCTGATTTGAAGACCCTGACACAGCTGGGGGTTTGAGTGTGGATTGGGTTGTAAAAAGGTGCAGGAGGCTATCAAGTAATTTACAGCTTGGAAGCCTGGTAGTGTAAGAAAGGCCTGGGAATGAAGGGAGAGCCTTTTTGATCTCAAGGTCTCAAAGTTCAGCTGTGCCATCTCCTGACAACCAGGAGATATAGTGTCATCATACAGCCATTGGTAAATTGGTAATTAACCTAAAGAAATGATTGGTCCCTAACCTGCCCTCCACCTGGGTTTTCAAGGATAAAGGATTTGAAGAAGAAGAGTTTGGATTTGATATCCCGCTTTATCACTACCCGAAGGAGTCTCAAAGCGGCTCACAATCTCCTTTCCCTTCCTCCCCCACAACAAACACTCTGTGAGGGGACTTCCTGTCGAGCGCAAACCGGCTGCAAGTGGGAATTTTCCTAGCTGGGAAATTCCATGCTTTCGGAGGAAAAGGGGGGGTTACAGGGTGCAGTAACCCCCCAAAATACCCTCTGTAGAGAATATAGAGGGTCTGGTTCCCAGCAAGCCAAATCGCAAATCATCTGGCCGTCAAGTAGCTTCTGTAGGAGTGAAGAGAACGGCAGAGAGATAAGCGGGCAAAGGGGAAGCCATAAACTATCCTTCAAAGGCGCAGCCTCGAACTTGCAAGGGAAGCGGCCAATTCTCAAACCTAATAAATTCGGACCTAATTGGAAAGGAATTTGAAGCCTAAAGGTTAAAGAAAGGTTTCGGAGCAAAAGAGAAACAACAAAGGAGGTCAGCTGTATCTGCAATCAGAACGGACGCAGTAATGTCGGCAGATCGGGAGAGCAGTGTGTGAGTAATTGCTAGCGGCTACAGTCGCTTTCTCTTCTAAAACCTTTAAGAAGTTACAGAGTAACTGAGAAATTAGTGAAAAGAGTAAAAACAGAAGAGGAAGCAGAAAGTTATTTTATTGCAAAGTTTGCTAAATCTTTGATGAAACGGAGGGGAAGGAAGGAAAGGAAGTTCAGAAGAGTTTTTAGTTTCACTTTTAATAAAGAGCTGCGCAATTGAAAAGAAGGACTTCCGTCGCCATTGTTATATTGTAAAAAACACGTATGGTTACAAGAGGATAAAATAAAAGCTTCAAGGGATATAACGGACTTTAAAATTTAATTTTTGACAATAAACAATGCCACTTCATGTACTGGTTAGGTTGTGAGCCTCAAAACAAAACTTTTAAATTGCTAAAGAACTGCCCCCCACTTCCCCCTCCTTCTCCTGAGGTTTCCAGCATTTAACATCTTTGTGGAAGCTTTTTGCAGTGTTTTTGACACATGGATAAGGCTTGTTTTTTGGACTGAGATCTTCCCCCTGGAGAATCCTGCTTTGGATGTAATTTTTGTGATTTTTCAAGAACTGTTCCATTATTCAAGTTTTGGATTAGAGATCCTGAAGATCACATCTGGATTATAATTGGAGTATAATAAAAACAACTGTCGGAGAAAATAACAAATTGGATATAACACTTTATTTTTTGTTTTTTTATGGTATTATCTTCTCTCTTTGACTTTATCTTCTCCCCTATATGTCTGATTGGAATAGCCTAAGTGGGATATTCTGCTATTTAGACCTCTTACTTATTGGTGTGGGAACTGTTTGGGTGGATATATTGACCTGTGGTGTACTGGTGTGAAATTTTGTGAATTCTAGCATACTGGTTGTGTTATGTTCAGTATATCAGTATATCATTTAGGTTTGGTTGGAGTAAAAGAAATTAAAAGATATGACGCACCAACAAAAGAAAACAGGTGAAGGGGTAACACCAGCAGATAGGAGAGGTTCAAAACAAGAGTCGGACTTTAAGGGAGAAATATTGAAAATGTTTGCAGAAATTAAAAATGACATAAAGCAGAGTGAAAAAAAATATAGAAGCCAAATTAGGAAACATAGCGGACTTCCGGTTTGAGACCGCGAGCGGCAAGGAGCGTGGAAAAGCTGCGGCAAGCTTTTTCGAGCTTCACGGGGGCTTGGGGGCAACGCAAGGGCACAGCGACCCCCAAAAAACCTCAAGGTGGGCGACCTTGGGGGACAAGCTACCAAGCGGCGTAGGTGGAGTCCCAAAGTTTTTTTTCGGGTTTTTTTTTAAAGAGACTCGAAGACGACGGGACTGAGAGACGCGAATGGTAAGCTCTGCGGACCCCGTGCAGCGATGCCTCTAGCTCCTGCTGGCAAAGCGACAAATCTCCACAAACTCCAGAGTGGAACCCCAACTTATGAAGAAAACGTAAGCATATAAAAAACTTAATTTAAACAACGCTAATGGGGCTTCGGGAAGTAACAGAAGTTAAACAAGGAACCCGACCTGCCTTTCAGAGTAAAATGGCGCAGAACATCTAGTCGCGAGAGCAAGGAGAGGAACTGAATAATTACCTGCTGTAGAGAGGAGCAAAGTGAAAGTCCTCGGCAAGTTTTTAGACGAGGCAAAGAAAACAAAAAAACAAAACAAAACCGGAAGATAATTTATTGACTGTTACATACTTTGTACCTCTTTTGGGAGAAAAAGACCTTGAAATTTGAGAAGGGAAAAAAAGGAAAAAACGGGACAGAGAGGAAGTAAGAAAGTAGCAGTTTAGAAGTTAAAAGTAACAACAGCGGAGCGCAAAGGAGGAAGGGGAATAAGGACAAAGATATATAAAACAGAAGCTTATAAAGGGGCAATAATTCTTTGGTTTCTTTTTCTCTGTGATGGAATGGTGAGAGGAGTATTAATATGGAGTGTATCAAGAGTGGTTTGAACAATCATTAAATTAGAACTAAGATACACCTCCATTTCAGTGGAAGCTTCTGGAGTTTTAACCACTCCCCTCTTCTTCCCCTCTGAATTGAGAAAGACGGAGAAACGGAGATACGGACTAACGTTAAAAGGACAACTTGGGACTGCGTTTGTGGATCTATCTAGCTGCTTTTCTTTTCTGGCTTTTTGGCTGAAAATTGGAACATACCACGACTTTAAAAGACAAACTTAGATGGTCTGAATCAGATTGTTGGAGGAGGTTGGGATTCTGGGATCCTCTCTCCCCCTTTACTACAAGATCTAACTGCATTATAAGACTGGATTGAGCCAGCAAGTGGCTGAAGAATAAAGAATTGGGAAGGTAAAACACACAGCGAGAGCTGCAAACACTGCATTCGCTAAGTGAGGGGTGTGGACATAGTGGAATCTATTAAAAGGTATATTGGAGTTGGGACCTACTCTCTCCCCTACTGGTGGGTTGCAACAGACTGTATATTAGAGCGGGGACTTACTCTTTGCCCCACCCACACAATATATCAGAATAATCACACACACCTGTGTTTAATGAGAATTTCCCTACGGCTAAGAACGTTTAAACTCTGATTTACTCTCCAGGAAAGACTTTAAAATCGGACTAAACAAGCTAACTTAACTACTCTGCTGTTTATTGATTTTATTATTGGTTACGGTTATATGTTAGAAGTTTCATGTTTCTTTATAACATTGGCTGACCCGTGAGGTAGACTAGAACTTATACTACAGATTACGGCTTGCAGTAGAGGTTAAGGAACTGGGTCAAAAATAGTCTGGGTAATTTGATTGAAAACAACCAATGGGAACCAATGACACTGCAAGCAATAGCCTCCAGAAGATCAAAAGAGATTACGAGGCTCTGGGCAGGAAATTGAAGCAATTAAATGCACAAATTGTCATCTCATCTGTCCTCCCAGTTGAACGACGTGGCCCAGGGAGAGAGGGAAAAATAGTGGAAGTGAACAACTGGCTTCGCAAATGGTGCAAACAGGAACGGTTTGGATTCTTAGATCACGGAATGCAGTTTCTTGAAGATGGACTTCTGGCAAGCGATGGGCTGCACCTCACAACGGTTGGGAGGAATGTTTTTGCAAAAAATCTCAGAAACCTCATCAGGAGGGCTTTAAACTGACTAATGTGGGGGAGGGAGACAGTGCTCCTGAAGGTAGGAGTCTATCAATTGATGAAGATGATCATCCAAATGTCATAGACCGAATGCAGCAAAGAGCATGCAGACCTAGTGGTGGGAAGAGAAAATCCTTAAATAAGAGACACGGGGGAATGATTAATGGACTTCAATGTCTGTACACTAATGTGCAAAGCATGGGAAATAAACAAGATGAGCTTGAGCTCCTGGTACAGCAAACTAAATATGACATAATAGGAATCACTGAAACCTGGTGGGATAAATCCCACGATTGGAATGTAATAATGGAGGGATACAATCTATTTCAAAGAAACAGACCAGACAAGAAAGGAGGAGGAGTGGCGTTATATGTCAGGGATGTGTATACCTGTGAAGAGATCCAAGATTTAGAACCTCAAAGCCAAAGTGAGAGCATTTGGGTCAAAATTAAGGGAGAGAAGAATAACAGTGACCTCATTGTGGGAGTTTACTATAGATCCCCAAGCCAAACGGAGGACATAGATGATGCCTTCCTGGAACAGATGGCCAAGCATGCAAAAGGAAGGGAGATAGTAGTAATGGGGGACTTCAATTACCCGGATATTTGTTGGATGTCAAACTCAGCCAAGAGCATAAGGTCAAACAGATTCCTCACTGCCCTTGCAGACAACTTCATTGTCCAGAAAGTGGGAGAAGCAACAAGAGGAACAGCCATTTTAGATCTGGTCCTAACCAATGTTGATGACCTGGTTAGTGGGGTAGAAGTGGAAGGATCATT